GGCTCGGTAGGGTGCGAAATAAGTTCAAAATACGGACATACTTACAAATGTTACACAGAGTCAGTGGTGCCAACTTCACGTTCCCTTGGAAAGAACAAGTACGTGCATAGAATAATCACCGCGAAATTCCCACACAGTGTTGCAGCCTCGCAACAATGAAAAACGAAATCCAGACATTCTCAATTCACCGACGGATGACTGCTCCACGCCATTTTGGGTTGTGGGTATTTATTTGGCATTCTTCACCGCGCCGGTCAATGCGGTTTGGGGGCATCTGGGAGGGGGAATCTGGGAGGGGGCATCTGGGAAGGGGCAGAACGTTTCTGATATCACTCGCCACTGATGTTAGGCAAATTTTTTTTTGACCGGGCAAAGGGTCCACTGAGCTACGGAGCTCTTTTTCAGAAGCAACCTGGCCACAAATGATAGCTCAACGAAGTGGCTTATCACGTGGAAATGTATAGCAGACAAATACTTTAAAATCATGTCTCTAAATGAGGGGGGGGGGGGGAACGGAGAACCTGAAGAAAAATCCACGCGACCACGGGGGGAACATGCACACTCCAAATATACAGCATCAAACTCGGATCGCCGAATTCGTCGCGCAGAGCGATAAGGGGCCGTCCATAAATGACGTCACGCACCTAGGGGGGGGTCAGACATTTTTGACGAGGGGGGGGGGCGTTTGAGAAATGTGACATCACATCAAAATGCGCAACTTTAAATAAATATAGACAACACGTTCTACTTAATTAAATAGACTTTTTAATAAATGTTTTCTCCTATAACATTAGAGTGCAGCGCCACATTAAATACGCACTACAATGACAATCGTTTAAAGCGATTTGAAGCATGTTTTATTTTTTGGGGGGGGGACAGAGGTTTGTGACGTCATATTTGAGGGGGGGGTCTGACTTTTTGTGACGCCGTGTGACGAAGGGGGGGGGGGGGGTCAAAAATCGTTCAAAATCGCGTGACGTCATTTATGGACGGCCCGAACCACTTTACCGCCGCTCGCGCCACTACGCAGCCTCTTAATGTGGAGGAATTACGATCATGGGCTAAATTGAGCCAAGTCGAGATGTTTAACTCATGATCTCATGGACTCAGCACTAATAGCAGGGCCATCTAACCAGCTGAGAAATAATAATAATGATGATCACAACTTCCCACATGCTCGTGTTCCAGTGTTCTTCACAGTGTCGGGTGTCTTTTGCCAGACCTCAAATCCGATGGCAAGGATTTTGTTCCCAAAAATCAAAATGACTCATCCGGTATCGGGGCCACACGAGATTGACTTTTTGTTCGCTGGCTGTTTTTTTTTTACACAGCAAATGCCCTCTTTGGCAAAAGCAAAAGCCAAGCTTTGAGTGCGTGCAATTTACAGCCGATTAAATAGGTGTGTTCTTCCCCAACTTGCAATTTCAGTCAACATAGCAAAGAGGGACATAGCGATTAATTCAGTGTGTCTATGCACACACGTACACACGCACACACTCGCACAACAAATTGGTCTTAACAATTGTGGAAATGTTCCGAACAGAGTATTCATGGGCGACCAGCCCGTTCCCGAAACGTGAATCTTATATATTCATCCAATCTTGAGAATGTAAACATGCCCGCTTGCACAAATTGGCAATATCCAGCAAACAAATTCGCATCGTATAACCAGCATTTGGAATATATTTTCAGGCATATGCGCAACAGAATGTGTAGCGTGCATGGACAAACGTGCATATACGCGAATATATATGCGCGTTTATCAACGATTCGGCTGCAATTATTCTAATGTGCTCGCTCATGCAGTCAGAAGTGGCAGGAGCGGCTTTTTGTTTTAATGCTTAAATTGCTTTGTGTCGACGACGCCCGTATCGGGCTCCCGCACTGCCCGAGCGCTATGACATTGAGGATGACATCACGGGGGACGGGGGGGGGCTTCACTTTCACTCCCCGAAATGCATCAATCCCGCTGCACTTAGACGACGACGCATTCATACGCACGGTTGTCACGCGTGTGAGTGACTCACCGAACCCGGAGTTTCAAGCGGCGAATGCAGCACGCGAACGCTCGACACCCCCCCCCCCCCTATTGCGCTTTGCTGAAAGGCGTTCAGGGCCTATAACGTCAGGCCACCAGCATCATCTTCCGCGGCTGCCACGATACATCCCACTGATGGAGGGTCAGCCAAGACCCAAGAGGCGTCACCGTACCTCGCGTTCAACGGTCCAGTTAGTCGAGTGGTTGTTAATCTTCACTGCAAGCCTCGCATCACCCCCTTTGGTCTTTCTAACCGTTCAACATTTCATCACGTATCATAAATACATAGGTTTGATGAAACAAAGTTCTACTTGCGTGACCGTGCCAAAGTTGCGTTACGAGGATTTACCTTCTGTAAAGATTTTGGCCAGGTCTCGCACCTCCAGGGGGTGCGTGCACCCCAGGTTAAGAGCCACAAAGTCAACTCCTTCACCATTCCGATCCCGCCCACTCCATATCCCCGATGGTTCGAAATGGAAACTAAATTTGGAGACAATGTATTGACCTATGAGAAACGTTCAGCAGGGCACGTCACTTCCGACGGATGACGACCAATAGCAGGGATCAACGTCACAAAGGCAGGAAACTGTCACAAAGGCAGTCACGGGGAGCGGATAGAACGTCACGCGTGCGAAAATCAAATGAAGCGAGCGGTACAAATGTCCGATTGTCCACGTGTTCTACCCACACGTGGAAGTGACCATCAAGCAACAGGTGCCTGCCTTCCCCCCCCATATGGGATTTCACCATCAGTTGTAATCTCCATAACGGCATGCGCGCCATCGGCTCCAAACATGCACACGTAGTCGCATCACGAGGCGAGCTCACGAGTCTCGGCAGATCCTCAATTGTGTCGTGCAGCAGCAGCGCCCCAGAGCTGCTGGGAACCACGCGTGCAAACAGCGAGGACAGCCAGCAGGAATATGAATTCAAATAGCAGGAATATGAATTCCTGCAGTCCCGAAAGTTAAGTCAACAGAGCCTCCTGTATTCATGGTGTAGGGTTGGGGGGGGGGGGGATGAATTGCAATCGCAAATGTGGCTCTTATTTTGCAGGCACGTACCGAGGCGATTTCCCCTGGGCCGCATTAAAGTTTGAAGTGCAGTCAATTCGCACCAAAATGCAAGCGGCATTCAATTACAGCACTCTGGTAAAGGCGCCCCAAACAAAGATCCCCCCGTCTAGCCTGAACGGACTGTTGGGGCAAGTGTTGTTAGCGAGCACCTATCAAGGCCGGTACAGAACACGAGGGGGTGGGTAGCCAGCAGCACGCGCAGCCGCCTTTGTCTCCCCAGTGGCGATGTGTACACACCTCAGATACTCATTTTTAGCCAAGTCTACCTAGAGGCCCAGGGCCGCTTCAAGGAGAATGGTCATTAGCCACAAGCAGGAATTGAACTCGGGTCGCCAGGTTCAGTACGGCACGCCAACCGAATTTGCTCCCAATGTCAACGACCACCACCACTCGGAGCTTTTCCCATCAAGCTGGTTTGGAGGATGCGGGGGCCCTTAAACTTTTGGTAGCAGCTATCCACTACTGGTAGTCACGGCCATCATGCCCCATCTGTTGCCGACGTTGCCATGCAATTTAACAAATTGCCTCTCCCACAAATTGTTAATATTTCCTAGGTCACCCCCTCCAAATGCCAAACCATCATAGTGAACTATTTAACACGTAGGCTTTCGCGACCAAAATTATTCATAATCAACGTTTTTTGGGTTTAGATCGCGTTATTTATAAATGTGTCGTAACCCTCCACCACCCGACACGGCCAATCAGTAAAAAGTGTCACGTTGACAAGACAATTAGTTCACTGCTTTAGCCCACCGGTGTGTTGAAGCGTGAAACCACAACAATTTACAACTTGAGTACGACGTTTCGCTGGTAATTGCATCCAGCATCGGGCAATTCGCCTTTTGTCAACGTGACACTTTTTACCGATTGGCCGTGTCGGGTGGTGGAGGGTTACGACACATTTATAAATAACGCGATCTAAACCCAAAAAGTTGATTATGAATAGTGAAGTATACCGTGATAGGTGAATGGAACTGGGAGAGTCCAACATCGCTCAAGCACGGATCTACAATCATGCGTTGGGTTTCCTTTAAGCAGTGTCAGATCGAGCAGTTAATTCCCGAGCTTGGTGTTGCCTCCAAGAAGTCGTGAATTTATTTAATTTTTTTACCTACATGACTTTACCGAAAAAACTAAGGGGTGTGTGTGGGCAGCAGGTTGATCACCTTTAAAGTCTTGTTACCAAGGGATGAGAGGGCAGTAGGTTTACTCTGCCATGTATCTTTCTGGGCGTTAAGCCGCCACTATGGGCGTTTTTTTTAAGTGGTTGCCATAAAAATGTGAACTCATTCCTGGCTCCAGAACTCCTGAGCAAGAAACCAGCGTAAAACCTTGGGCAACAGTGACCAGGTCTTGGCAAAGCGTGGTTCGAGAAGCCTGCAAGGCAGCAACTTGCATTGCACATGCCAGTCAAAACCGTGTCAAAAATTCGAGCAGGTTGTCACCGAATTAAATAATTTATGGCGTTGGGCAAAGAGACGTTTGAGCAGTCGGGGAAAAAAATTGCATCCCAAAAATGGTTGAGCCCTCACCATGGATTGTCAAGGAGACCCCTTTGCACAAATTAAAAGGCGATTGTTGATACCAGCCTGGGTGCGGTGCATGAAGCACAGTTATCTATAAAATGGTAGAGTGTTGAACTTGAGCACCATAAGCTAACCGTTCAGATGTGGTAGGACAGAGCACGCAAAGCAATCCAAAAAAAAGCGTTGGCATCAGACTCAAGAGCTCAACTCCAATGGCTTCTTGAGATCGGAAGAAAGCGCATTCTGGCAAAATGCAGGAGCGCATCTTGAAGTGCAGTGCCAGCGTTCAAGGATCAGCCAAAAAGCCGCCGTCAGGATAACCACGACCTTGTATAAAAAAATGAACGTTTCAGGCAACAATCTTCTACACTTGCATTTATTTAAAAACATGTTCCTTTTGCAATATTATTAAAAAGTGTATTAAGTGCAGCATTTTAAAGTCTAGGATAAAACTATTACACTCCAGCATACGTGAAAAAAACCGTTAAAAAAGTAACAATTTGCAAATTTGCGAGTAGATACAAGACCCCCGTAATAGTAATTGAGAGACTCGTTTCAATGGCTGTAAAATCGCGCCATCTCGCATGCTGTAGCACAAACGGCATTGGCAACGATATGCTTAACAGGAAACGGGATTGGGTACCAACCCACGAAAGTAATATAGCAAGCACGTTCTAAAGCCACAGGGAGTGCTTAAATTGGCCGCTTTCCCCATGGTCGGCAGTGCTTTGGTGGAGCATCACGACGACTCCAGAGCGCTACGCAGCCAAGGACAGTCAGATACTGGCTCCATGAGTGCCACGCTGTAGTTCCTGCAGGAGGAGGAGGTTGGCGCAACGTGGAGACGGGGCGAAGGGGGGGGGGAGATCAGGGCACACGACATTGTAAAAGCCAGACATTGGTTTTACGGTTGTGCTGCATAGCACACCATCAGGTTGAGAACTTCCACAATCGTCCAATCAAAAGGAGCTCAATGACGGTAGTCATTTGAAAAATCAGATCCGGACAGGATTTTTTCTCAATATGGAGAGCAAACCTCGTGCGATTGTGCCGTCTTAGACTCAATGGCTGCCAAAAGTAGATTCAACGGAGATTTGAAAATAAACCCAGGTGATCCAAAAACGCCATGAAGGTGGCTTTAGCCGGCAGTCGGTTCGACAAGAGCGAACGCTTTTAACATTGCCGAGATCCAGCTGCCAGCACGTAGGAGAATGGTCAGAGCAACTCAAACACTGAGTTTTACAGTTGTGGTCAATATAGCAGTGCGTGCACATTTTTGTTGTAGCCGTTTGTTAGGTTTTGCAGCTACTCTACACGCCCCGGTCTGGCTTTGGTAAAACAAATTCCTGTGGCGTTAGAAGCTATTGTTTGAAAATAATTTAAATTCAAATTATTTGCAAACAAAAAGTGGAATAGAGTAGTATTTGTACCGTACGGAGAAAAAAAAAACACGTTTGTAGTCGTGACAAACAAATGTACCCAATGACGTCATAGGCTACATACCTGGGGCTCTGGTAAGTCTTGAAGGCGCTGTGCTGCTCCTGCTTGCCTGTGTGCGTGATGTGAAGGGCAGACACACAGGGCTGCAGAATCTCAAAACTATACCCCGTCAGTTCCTCCAACGCCAGCGGCTGAAGGCCATGGGGGTGGGGGGGGGGAAGAAGCAAGAGATTTGGTTTAGTGTTGTACATACAAATGGCACCAAAAAAAATCGCCAAAGAACCAGACAAGCTGCCAAATGGTGCAACTGGAAACAGCAATTGCGCTGCAGTTTAATGTGCGTTTCCAGCCAATTCGTATTTATGCATGGAGAACTCGCGTATGCAAAGGGGGTACCACACACGTGCTAGCCTGTACAGGAGACGAGAGATTATGAAAGTCTACCGCTGCCACATCCACCAGAAAAGTCGGTTTCTTACGAGGCAAGCCATCGAACTCCATCTACCACCAGCGCTGGATTACATGCCACGTGCATATAGCCGCTGCCTAGATAGGTGGGCGGCCAAAGTGGAAGGAGCAGTGAAATTTGAGCACAGCTTAAGTTAACTCGTTGTCAGGTCAGGGGGGGGGGGTCTCACTGCTCGCCCATGACATCCCACCACATGCTGGAGTTAGTCATTTTAAAAGTCGCACCCTCTCCCTTACACTGTGCGGTGCAAATGTCAGACATCCTGCTAAAGTGCAATACAAAACGGATGTACATCCAGCACTTCACCTGTGCCGTTTGCTGGCATTAAAAGCCTGAAATTGGAGATATTTAAAATTGTATTGCAAGGAAGTCCCTGGGTTATGAGATTTGAAGCCTTTGTCAATCATGAGCGTCTTCAAAAAAATGGCCCTTCTCTACAGCTGCACCGATGTGATAAAGTGGAATATTGGTGTGCAGTCACGGGACCACGACAGGTTACATGACGAACCCACTTTTAAAATCATGGATGGTTGCCCAGATGTAAAAAGCAGCCAACCATACCAGCACAATACAAAGGGATTTTTTGGGTGGTACGAAATTGGTGACGCAAGAGATTAAAGTTGCACATGGTTCAGTCACTAGGAAAACACCGATGCTTGATATTGCAAAACATGAGTAGTGATGGGCAAAGTTACACTTGGGGACTCGAGCCAGATTTGTCAAGTCCCCAGGCAAGAGCGCACAGAGGGAAGGAAGAGGGCTACACAGCAGTACTTGCCCACTTATGTCCGCTGATCAAGCTCGCCAGACCAAGCGCAGCTGCCGAGAGGATGGACGGGACCATGGGGAGGTAGCGCTGTCCATCGAGCAGGCTCAGCTCACCAAGGTACTGCGTGCACACGCACGACCCCGCACAGAAATGTCACGTCTAAAAAGATCGGATGCTCACAAGTCTGAATCCCAAGTCAAGAGGCCGTTCTGTTAGGTGGAGTGACAGTCACGAAATGGATGGAACCAGTCTGAGCAGATTGAGCGAGTGAAGTTTGCACACCTGGTGGATTACGAAAATGCTTGCAAATTAGAAATACAAAATAGTCTGATAAGACATTCCTTTTTCTGGCAAAAACAGGTGACGATTTTAAACAAACTGAAACATTTTATAAGGAACCATGTCTGCATTAACCACAAGGCTTGTTGTCAGAATGTAAACTAAAAACTGATCATATATGTACCGTCCTTGAAACGGACAGTTTTCTTTGAGCTTCGTTTCAAGCAGTGTTACATCAGAGGACGCCAAAAGGCGTACAAGCTCAAAGGCAATGCACTAGAGTAATGAGAGCGCGGGGAAAGCATTTACATCTACATATAGATGCACCGTTTGAGACGAGGCTCAAAAGCCGTCTCGTGGACCAATCAGTTAAGGACAGTGCATATTCGTTTTATTTGTATTCTGACCACAAGCATTGTGGTTAATGCAGACATGATTCTTTGTAAAAGGTTTCAGTTTGGTTTTTTAAAATCTTAACACCCGTTTTGTTGCCAGAAAGGGAAAAACCTATTACTGTTACTGGCAAAGGAGGTCCCATGATGTACAATAGCTCATTTCATATTTGGGAAGCTTGAACAATTTTCTTCTCTTTCGACCAATCACATTGCCTAGTTGGAATTCAAGTAACCATTGAACTAGCTGGGAGGGGGGGGGGTCAAGCAACTAGCTGTTATTTTTCGAATTCGAGCAAACGATTTCAAGAGCTGCAATGCAAATACGATTCGTGGCCTTTAATAACGTCACAAAACGATCCTTTAAAAAAGAGCTTGCCAACCTCGTGCTATGGGCAAACCCGAATTCTCAGTAACAAAAGTAACTACATGTGCTACGGGCCCCACGCTAAATGCTTTCAAGTCATCAATCCCGGTTCAGCGATTCTGCACTTGCTCTATTACTGTAGTACTATACCACCTTCAACTTTTACGAACGACTGGGTGTTTACAGTTGGCGATTTGTCGTATTATCTGGGCTGTATAGCAAATGAAAAAAATACAATTACTTTACAAGTTAAATATTTGTGCGTTTTAATATTTGTTTTTTTCCTCTCCTTGGTTCTTTCGGTAAAACCACGTAGAATGGAAATAATAAATAATAAAAATAAAACTATAAAACGATTCTCACGATGTTTCGGCCACAACGCAAGCAGCCGTCCTCGTGTGGAGCACAGGTCTGTCGAGAAGACAGCGTCTGAATGTGTTTTATTCAGGGCCCCTTTATACTGGTAGGAACGAAGTGGACCAGACCACCAATATATGAATGTGTCCGTCCGTGGGAAGGGTGGTGTTGGAAATGAAAGACTACGAGTCTTTAAATCTCACAGCGTTTCTTGTCAAAACAAACACTTTTAATTAACGTTACACTAGAATACAGTAATTTTTTCTTTAACTCCTCTATACCTGGTCGATATCTCTGTACCGGTACTAAGTATTATTCCTACCAGCCCACCCCGCAGGGTGCTGTTAACATATGCTACAGGCCCCACACTTGGCTTAATCCGGCACTGGGGGCACAACATCGCAGCACCGCAAGATAGCAACAGCTGGGGGGGGGGGCGTAAAAGGACTTTCGCATCGCACTTGGCTTGTACTACACCCAGCTTTACCATGGCGAGGCTGACGACTTGATCGGGCGTGGACAGGCACTGGGCGTAGAACCTCAGGAACTGGGTGAAGGTCGGCGCGGCCAGGTCGAAGCAGAGAATGCGAAGCAGCAGCTGCTCCATACGCAGCACCTGCCGCACGCTGTACGTGTCGGCTGTCGTGTAGGCGAAGTCGTGCACGTCTGGGGGGTAGATCTCCTCGTATTTGCTGGGGTGAGGGGGGGCACACGAGGCACGCGGTACAATGGCAGCCACAGAGCAATGTTAGGGTTAAATACGTTCCTTCCGAGTGGGCAGGTAGGAACTTTGACAGCGCATTCGTGCACGACAGATAAATAATCCCTGGTGGGCAGTGGGGAACCGTTCCCATGGGCGAGGACCGATACACCAGTTCGCTTGGGTCTAGTAGGTCGTGGCTGGTTGATCAATTTGGTTTTAGTCGCTTATTTATGGCGAGTTGGCGTATGCCTAACTTCTCACCGTACGTAGCCCAACCTGTTAAAATCGGGGGGGGGGGGGTGCAAGGGCAAGTCCAAACTAAATTTAAAACAAGTAAACCCGTAAAAACAAAGTTTTTCACTATAAATCCTTTATATGCGTGGCGGCTAGAGTCCTCTCGTCCTCTGGCTTGAGATGGCTGCCACCTATGGGTCAGATGATTGTCTGCCACCATCAAGCAATTGGTAATTAAATATTTAAATTTGTTTTCCCTAAACAGTGTAAAATTTTTGATTTTTTCTCACGAAAATTAATTATCACACACAACGAGTATGTGTGGAAAATGTCAGCTCGATTGGATCACGGGAAATGGGTTAAAAAACGACCGAAAGATTTGCACGGTCCTAAGCAAGCGAACTTAATATAAAGGATTTAAAAAACCCACAATTCAGGTGTCACCGTACTTTGAAGTGCAATCTCCCCCTCCCCCAACATAATTAACACCCCCCCCCACCAGCACCGTCACTGCTGGTGGGAGGCGGGGGGGGTTGGGGGGGGCAGCACTCACGCGGCCACGTAGAGAGCCGCAGCCCCCAGCAGCTGCAGCTTGTCGCGAGTGACGGACATGCGCGAGAGGAAGCGGTCGCTGTAGCCGACGGCAAGGTGCAGCGTCTCCCTCTGCAGGCCGTACTGGGTCACCACCTCGGAGAGCCAGTCCACCAGCACGGCGCGCATCGCATGTGACACGTCCTGCTGCCGGCTCATGTAGTTCGCCCGGGGCCGGTAGCGAGCCTGCGCGCGGGGGTGGGGGGGGGGGTCACGCGTTCACACGAGGAAATGAAAGTATGCCCCGGCAGAAGTCGCGTGTTCGGGAGATAGAGCATCAATGGGTTCATAAAGGTAATTTATGGAGAGGCTGAATTGCGGCTTTAATAAACCACCACCTTCTGGCAACCTTATATCCTTGCCCGATTTCTAAAAAAACTTTAGCCACGAACGCTGGATCACCACAACAGCCGACTCCAGGGGTATTTTAAAAATAGGATTCTCTGCTCGTTTAAATTGTAGCGCTACCTCCGTGAAGCTCAGTCTAGAGGGAGGGGGGGGGGGGGGGGGAGAGACTGTTGTGGTTACCTCCGCTTTGCACATGTAGATGTAGATGTGGACAGAGTACTCGGACAAAACCAAGGGGTCATGGACAGTTTCCTTGTTCACCTCCACCCCGCACATGTCCTGGCAGCTACAGTTGTCACTGGTGGCCCAGGAAGAGTCCAGGATCATTGGGGAGGCTTGGGGAAGGGGGGGGGGTGCAGAGATGGAGTTGGGGTTCATGCACAGCATTGATCATTTCTTTAGCAAAAGGAACATTAATTTGTAATATATATTTTAGTCTACGACTGTAGCAAGCCTCAATTAACATTGATGAATAGCAAAAAGTCAGAACGCGTGACAAGAGGCATTAAGGCAGAGCACCATCAGGATCGTTAGAGAATGCAGTGGACAAATTAAAAAGGTGGCCAAATGTACAAATATTCGTGAACCTTGTATCAGTATGCATGAAAATAAAAATTACACACCCACAAGCCAATATTTCATTATTATGCTAATAGTGTTAGTCTAGCAGAAAACTGGCACGCGACAAACTTAATTAAGACCGGTTCAGATATAATAATGCAACTAAATTAACACTGCGTATCAATGGGTTGAGGAAACGAGTCAGTTTAGAATTGTTCGAAAATTGTGGTTAATAAACGACAATTTGAAATTGCTAGACGGCTCTTTTACAGATAACTGTGACCGAGTCATGAAAGTTTAAAGGTCTAGAAGTGAACAAATATTAGATAGCAGTACGCCACATCCTGGGGGCTTCCCCACAAGCCACCAGGTCCAACTATAAAAACAAAAAACTAGATTTTACTTGAGGCAAGGTCTACTGAGCAAACAACCATTTTTCCAGAAGCGACATTGTCGCAACTGATCAACGAAGTTGCTTGTGGGAATTTATAGTAGGCAATTACCTCAAAAACAATTCTAAAAGTGCGTAGAAAAACAAAACCACGGGGAGACCACATGCAAACTCCAAATACACCAGGCGTCAGGGTCGGGATCGAACTCACGACCTCCTGGCTACGGGGGCGTAGTTACCATCTCGCCACCGTGGTGCCCTTAACACCAGATCCCTGCCCCCAGCTCACCTGCGCTGGCGTCAAGGCTGGCGGGAAGGCTCAGTGTGGTTTGATAGACGGCGCGAAGATCCGTCGTGGGGTCGTGACCCCTCGACTCTCGCGACACATCGGCGGAGGCAGAGGGAGCCGCGATGACCTCTGCGTGCACGTCCGCCTCCTCGTAAATGACAAACGGGGCAGCTGCAGTCGTCAGGGATGGGCTGTGCTTGGGCAGTGCATAGTCCTGGACGCAGACAAGACAGCTCTAGATTAGAAGCTTTCGTGACTGCAATGATTCATATTCTTAGGGTTTTTTTTCGGTAAAGTCACGTAGGTAAAAAATTTTAATTAATAAAAGTAAAATAAAAATAAAAATTTTAGAAAGCACGACGTTTCGGAGGCAATATAGACAAGACAGCGGTTTATAAGGGACAATGTGGCTTACACAGCAGGGAGACTTGAGGTCAGCCAAGCACAAATACTCCCACCGCAAAGGGTGGACGAGCAGGCGAAATAGCCTCGAGCTCTTCCAGCAGCTGCAGGGCTGCACCTTTAGCCGATCGAAAGGTGGTCACGAGGCGTGGACTAAAAATGGGTGTGTGGCCCGTGCAGACGAATGTTAAGCATGGGTGACATGGTCAATAAGCGGATGCAGATGCAAGAATGCAGTTACCAAATGCGGAGGGGGAGGCACAAATCTTGGTCAAGGCAAAAACAAAAAAACTGGGTCAGCCGACAGTGACGATCGAATTTGCGTTTTAAAAACAAGCTACAGCTGCAATGGGTCCAATTAATTTTCCACGTAAAGGCACCCCCGAACTTAACTCTTTTTTTACAAAAGGTAACAAAAGCCATTTTTATTTGACTTGCAATATATTGCAAGTACATCAGGTCACAAGAGGTCCGTCCAATTGTGTTACTTGTAGATCATATCCTTGTTGCGCAGTTGGCCATGTATGGTGCCGAAACACGAGACCAAAAGGTGCGTCTTTTGCACCGTGTGCAATGCCGGTGCCAACCAGCGGATACGGCAAAGCAAAAACCGATTTCAACAGAACGCGGCCAAAACAAACGTGGCATCCGAGAGAGGAGAGAGTTGACCCACCGCGCGGGTGGCGAGTTAAGAGCAGCGTGCGTGAAGACGCGTGGCTACCACTACCTAGGCAAGCTCCTGCATGGTGCGACCGAGGATTTGGAACCGTTCGGTGGGTGGCGGCGGTTGTGCAGCACCCGAGGATTGGCATAGTTGGCTACGTACGGCGCGCGAGAGGTTCAGCAGACAATCTCCCCCCCCCCCCCAACCACATGGGGCCCAAACGAGGCGCGTGGCCACAATGGAGCAACGGCGAGAAAAAAAAAACACCAAAAGGTCTAAACACCAAAGCTGTAACTCCACCAATAATTAAAGGGAGGATTGGGAGACGGCGATTGGGAGGGATTGATGTATGGATGGATGGATCTCCCCCCACCCCTCCCCCCGCGCAGTACGGACACCCTCCTCTCACCTGGCTGGCGACGTCGCGTCGACGCGAGGCGACGACTCCGTTGCCGATGGATCCGAACGCCCTCCTCGTGCAACCGCCACGAGCCGTGGCCGCCGCGGTCACCTTCCCGTTGGTGGCGCCGTGCGAACTCGCCACGACGGCCACCGCCGCCTTCGGGCTGCAGTTCTCATCGTGGGCGTTCTCCGACGACGAGGCGGACGGCATGGACGCCACCCTGCGCCGAATATTCGTGGCCATGTCGAGAGAAATTTGCCAAGCGGGTAACTGCGACAGCAGTGAGTGGGAGCGCGGTAGGACCGCTTAGAAGTTGCGATGGGAGGCAAAAGCAACACCACCACCATCGAGCAACACGGAAGGTGATAGCGAAACAAATTTAGCTTGTGGGTTTGGTCGAGGTGAGTTTTGTATAAAACCGAAGCCTTCCCGCCAGCGCTTCCAGCTAGATCTTGAACCAAACCAGCGCAGTGTAGGGTTCGCCAACTTTGGGCTTTTATAACTCCCGCGTACACGAAGCCAATTCACTTACACGCGGCGTGAAAGTGGATGGAATGCCCTACCCCCCCCAAAAAACAATATCATCATCTCCAGGAGCTGCCCTGGTTTGCTAATCACGCATCACTCCATGATGCGTGCGTGCCACTTGAAGTTTTAACTATATAATCAAGCGAGTGTCATAAGTAGCACGTTTAATGAGAAGACGAGAGTGATATATGTAATATAAGTGAATGACTCACGTTCAACAACGCACTTGTACGTACGTTGAACTTATTTCGCACCGTACGTAACCAGCCGTGCCAATCAGAGGTGCCAGATCCCCCGTGTAGCCTGTAACAGACTGTTGGGGCAAGTGCTGTTAGCGAGCACCTATGAATGCCGGCACGGCACACGAGGGGGTTGGGTGACCAGCACCACGCCCGGCCGCCTTTGTCTCCCAAATGGCCCACCACATTGTAACCGTAGTCATTGTAGTGCCCACCTCGCCCCAGAATCTTAAAAGCAAATCATGTTGTGCGGGGATTATTTTAATCGATAATTCCCGGCAAGTTGCAAGCCCTTCTTGGAGTAGAGGTCATCAACGTAAGGCACTACCACTAGAGTTTTACAAAGTAAAGCCTATCCGTGATAATCGAAACAAACACAACACATTGGTCTTAATAATCAAATATTGTTACCCTATCTTGCAAGACACTAATCTTATGAATAGGTCTGTACAAAATATATTTTTCTTCATGTTACGTTATTTGTTAAGGATTCAAATACATCATTTTTTTCTGATGAATAAACACACGGAACCCAAAATGCGCGACCAGATTTGTGGATGGCTTTATTTATTGACACCGGCCACGACTTTGGGGTGCGTCTGACCTGCCAGAGGAGGGTCTTATAACTTCTAGGAATGACATGGTGCAATAAATATCATGTATGACGCAATACCAGGTTCAGATTGCATCATTCATTGTTATGCTCAAAAAGCAAGTATTGTTTTCATAGATCCAGTCAAAGATGTATTTTAGTAATTTCTTGTTAAAATTGATATCCCTTCCCTTTATAACTCACTTATCCTCTGCCATTCCCAAGTCAAAGGTCGTAAAGACTTTACCCAGAAGCATATCTTGAAAACTAGAGCCAATCCACAATTTTAAGCATCATTTTTCATTCTCGGTGACCCAGAGTGAGTAAAGTTGGACTACATTTATTTCGGAAGCATTTTTGGCTGTCGATCAGTGTAATCTGGCGAATACGGTATTACCCGTGCGTGTGTAAGGCAGGTGGCAAATGAAAGGTGATTTGTGTTGATGATGGGGATGCTTTGTGTGCTCTGCACGCGTGCTCGTGATGAGGGTTAATTTCCCCCGAGCAGTGTCTATTGTTCCGGTAATTAAAACGAACTGGCAGGACACCTTTGATGTACAACGCATTCTCTTTCACGACTCACGCGCGGGTGTTCATTCGTATAGTCATACAATCCCCGTCTCTTTCCATACAGCCTCTCATTTGAATGATTGGCCTTGGAGAAAGCGCGTGTTTTTTTAAGATTGGGGCGCCACGGTGGCGAGATGTTAACTACCTCGCCTGGTATACAGGAGGTCGTGGGTTCGATTCCGAGGGAGGGGCTGGGTGGGGAGGGTGGAGAGGGGCTGGGTGGGGAGGGTGGAGAGGGGCTGGGTGGGGAGGGTGGGGAGAGGCTGGGTGGGGAGGGTGGGGAGGGTGGGGAGGGCTGGGTGGGGAGGGTGGGGAGGGGCTGGGTGGGGAGGGTGGGGAGGGGCTGGGTGGGGAGGGGCTGGGTGGGGAAGGTGGGGAGGGGCTGGGTGGGGAGGGTGGGGAGGGGCTGGGTGGGGAGGGGTGGGGCTGGGTGGGGAGGGGCTGGTCACCCCGTGGTGCCCTTATACAACTGAACGTTTAACCTACTCACGCCGGCTTGTGCCCGCTCTCACAGTCGGCCATATTTGCGGAATACACCACGCCGCCGTTGACCCTGGCCATTGACCGAGCAACCCAACGTTCCTACCAGCTCCCTCCGCAGGAATGTTTAAAAAAAGACATACTGTATATAGCTCAGTGGGCCTTACCTGGTAAAATGAAAAATAATTTAGTTTATTACCAAAAAATCACGGTTTTCTGAGCACACGTCCAACGAGCTCAATACGCCAAATGGCCAGTAACAAACAGCACTCGTACAGTCTTAAACTGACATGTAACGAGTTTAGACGTTTCGTGATTGGAGCAATGAAGCAATAAGACCTTGAGGGGAAAAGGCGATGGAAGGAAATTACAAAGTCAAAGCAGTGACGCGGGGAGAAGAAGAAAGAACAAATGTTTTGTTTTATTTTTGTTCTGATTGAAATCAAATAAATACATCCATTCCATCCACACCTCGCCACGGCGGTCGTGTTTGCTCTTATCAGTTATTGGAGTACACGGCGGAGGGGGCCGTGGCGCAGTAGGTTAGCGCGCTAAACTATGAACACAGTTAACATAATTCGATTCCTGTTCAATGGTGAACGTGAGAGGCGAGTGACATCTGAACCATGGATGTGGGCACATATCGGCAGTGGGCCAGTGTGGCGAAACATGGTCAAACAACATCCCACCCCATGAGATGGAATGGGGATGCCTTCATCCAGCAGTTGGAAGTGTTAAAGAGTGGAAATGCGTGCAAAATATAAATGTTCCCTCTTAATTACCGCTTGCATAACCTTTCATTTTCTCCATCGCATTTATTTGTGACGCAGCAAAATGAGAAAACGGAAAATGACATTCTGATAGGTGGAGTTCCTCACCGCCCCCCCACCCCGACTTCTAAGATGAAATCAGCTCGTGTCCAGGTGCGAGGTAGAATTGTTTATTACATGGCAAGCTCACGAGAAGTGACAGCGGCTCTGGGAGGATTTCATCCAGCAGCGGATTATTATTACGGTTTGTCCAGGCAAGGTCGGAGTTTCGTGAATATATTTTTTTCAGGAGGCATCTTGAGTCGTTTTTTTTATTTGCGAGAAATTGTTTTCGTTTATTTGGCAAATGAAGCCGGCACACGATAGCCGCAACTCTTGTGAACGACGGAACGGGATCTTTTCTGAAATACACCCGTAGTATTAACCAGGGTGGCCTTGAACCTCTTGCAACAAGCGATGATGATGCCCAAGCACAATCATAATCGTCATGACCATCATGGTATGGAGAGACCTTTCAGTCAGAGAAGAAAACATGTAAGGGGTTTGATTTACACCACGTGGTTGTAGTTACAAGCTACATTAAGGCATTGATCAACTCGTAAAAAGTAATCCATTCATCAGTATAATTTGCTCATCAATCTGCACAACTATCACGAAGACAAATATTTCCCTTATAGCCGAAATAGACCGTTGGGGTTAAGTGCTGTTAGCGCGCACCGATGAAGGCTGGCACGGGCATACGAGGGGGTGGGTGGCCAGCACCACGCCGGGCCGCCATTCTCCCAATTGTCGATTTTTACAAAACGCACCAGGTACTCATTTAAGGCCGAGTCGACCTAGGGGATGCCCGGACCGGTTCAGATAATCGCCACTGGTGTTGGCCGTGAGCACCACCACTGATATCACAAAATGTCAATGTACGAGGTGTCATTGAAAATTTCATATGGAGTTTATTTAAACGAGTTTTAAACCACAAAAACATAAAATTTGACCATATTATTCAGCTAATTCGGAGTATTCACGTAACATATTTGCACAACCAGAGTTGAATTAAAATTGTCCAAACTTTATTGTACAACATAATAAAACGTCAATTATTAATACAGTATCATACATTTTTTCCCCCGAACGAAACATTTTTTTTTACTTTAAACAGATGTCTGTAAACAGTCTCTAAGAATTGTTTAAATAACACAGCGCTTCAACAGGGGGTGCTACTGACGATGGCAGGGGATGGGGAAGAATGTGTTGCATATTGCGCACAATAGACAAAGTTTGGAGGTATCCAGTTGGCTTATTTACACGCGGCTTTCAAAAAGAGGGTTGTGGGTGCAGTGCCAAAAACATATTTTGGAAAATTCCACCCTTTGGAAAATGATACAACAGCCACAGCGAGATTGGTATTATTAAACCTTTGCTTTTACACTTAGGGTAAAACACTGCTCCCCACCCCCAAGGGTATTAACTCCAGCAGACACAAAACCAACAACCTCAGTAGCGTCTGTACGAGACCTGCTGACTGTGTGCCTTTGGACTGCATTGGGCCTCTGCAAATGGAGAAGTTTGAGGCCACGGCGGCTTCTTTTAAATCGGAGCTAAGACCGATGTTGCTGTAGTTTAGCCTTCTGATTTTATTCGGGTATCTCGTCATTGTTACCGTTCATTGACGTTTTCTTCTTTTAATTTATAATTTTATAACTTCTGAGCATCTTCTTGGTTCTTTCGGTAAAGTCACGTAGAATAGAAATAATAAAATAATAAAAATAAAACATAATAAAATAATTCTCACGACGTTTCGGCCACAACGCAAGCAGCCGTCCTCAGGTGGCAAGCAGGTCTGTCGAATTATTTTATTGTTTTATTTTTATTTTATTTCCATTCTACATGACTTTACCGAAAGAACCAAGAAGATGAATCCCTGCAGTCACGAAAGCTTTAAATCGAAATTTAACTTCTGAGCATTTACAATTGTGGCTTTATTTGAGCTAGTGTCAAGTGGCCTTCAACATTGTGCTATGAAAGGCATTTTATTCATGAAGATTATTATAATTATCAATGCACACATCTAAAAACCAAACTTGACTGAAGCATTAATACTGCACAAATCTCACGTACGTCCAACTGAAAACCGAGGCTCATAGCGCCGTAGTGAAACACTTCCATATTGCGGAGTCAACACGTGTTCCGTATATTCACCGGTCTTCAATGTCAAAGTAAAAACATTTTGGTGTTTACAATCTGCCCCCACCTCTACCAGCAACAAAACAAATGATCACAATTGAGAGTTGCAGTTTAATTCAGGAATCAAATCCTCTTGTACGTAGTTTTTACCATGCCATTTGTGATGAGTGTGGGGTTGTCTTGTTTGCAGTATTTCTTTGTTTTCCTATATATAATGTGCATAACATTTGCCTACGTATACGTATCGCGAGACACGATTTTGATTAACCTACTTCATGTTGTTTGTCGAGATGTATCATTGCATCCATCAAGATACTGAATCGGCTAATTAAATGTTTTCTTCATTGCCGCAAAGTATTGTCACTCAAATATCAAACAACACAATACTGAGATGGTAACAATTACAGCAATGGAATCGACTTGCTGCAAGGTAATTGAATTGCTTCTATAGCAATAAAAAACATTACCACAAACTATTCAGCATATCCTAACTCTAGAAAAAAGGCTTTTCTAAACAACAATATAAGCTGACATGTAAAATAACATTTGAGACCTATTCATGGCTGTGCACTCGCCAACACTGCATTTAAAACCACATATTAGAATTTGGTAATTCTATAATTTAAAAAAAAAACTTTCTTGCACGTGGTTAAGACTACTTTGTTAATTTTCTGCAAAACCGTTTTAGTCCAAAAACACACTGGGGGGCAGGTCTCCAGTCGTCATATTGTGTACAGTATTTGCAAAAAAGTCTCTTACACATAAGACACTGCTTCAAAAATGTTGGAAATGTCTTGAAAAAAAACTCACATACCGAATGTTTTTTAAAATCAACTAATTGTTATAAAATGTGTAAAAAAAAATCAGTTTTAAATGTAACATAAATAGCAAAAAAAATAACATGACAATCAAACTCAACAGAATGCTTGTAGTAATAAGCAGTTAATACTGCTAAGTGACATACTGTTGGCAATCCAACACCCAAACACGTAACAAGCACATACACGCTTGTGTACGTCTTTAGTGTGCTTACCAATACTACACTGTATACTCTGAAAGGTTTTCCAAAGCGAAGAGCAGATGGCTGCATATTGCCACCTGTACGCTGACATCTGTACAACCTTCCTCACCGGCAAACAAAACATCGCGAGGGCACAGCGCTTCAAGGGAGTGAATTTCGACAGCGGCCATCGGTATGTACAATGGGCATAACCGGTGGTCGAAAGTGAATTGTAACAGCGCCTCAATGTAGGTGTTACCAGGTGCACTGCACAAGTAACGCCGTTAGCAAGATTTCACAAACCCATGGCACTCTCGCCGTGCGGTCAAGCACACGTCGTTTTGGTAACGCGGAAAGATTTAAAAAAAAAATTGCAATCCCCTGATTGTTAACTAACATTCACAAAACATGCACTTTTCTAATGCTTTATCACAAATAAGGAAACAGCATTTTACACTTTTTTTGTGTTAAATAAAAAAAACTATACAACATAGCACCATCCTTGGAGGCTTTACAAAAGCCCAATATATATATATATATTTGGGAACCCCGGCAATTAAAAGTTCCTTGATGTGCATGACCCTTTGGCTGCTCGCTTACATCGGAATGAAGAACACAAGTTTGTAATGCCACTTTCCTCTCGCTACATTTAAGTGTTCAGCCTCTTTCCTTGTAAGTGTACAAAGGGTTCGCACAATAACTGAAATAATTACGAAAGACTGTAACCAAAGTTAAATTGAAAATGGAAAAATCAATCGGTCGACTCCGTTGCAGCTCTTTACGCTTTTAATCGTCGTCGTCCAACACGAACACCTCGATGACGTCGTCATCTGATGAGTCCAGCACGATCACTTCATCGTCTGCAGGATACTTCCTTGTTTGGACCATGCCACATTCAGCCTGCAAGGGGACAAGAAGAACAGTTATCCCACGTTATAAAAAATACCACCAGCGTACACTACTTCATTGGTAAAACACCACATTGCAAAATTGCCCCCCCTTCTGGCACACCAATGCCCATTTACAGGCCAGTCATCAAATTCACTATGGAGCTGGAAAAGGATGGCAAGTTACCATTCTTGGATGTTTCAATCGAAAAGAGACCTGATGGCTCAATGGGACACTGTCTACAGGAAAGCCACCAATACGGATGCCTAACTAAAACCTGACTCCCACCACCATCCATCCCAGAAGAATTCCCTCATCAAAACTCTACACCATAGAGCTGGATGAATTTCCGACCGTCATCACCTAGCCAGTGAACTGGAACACGTACACCAAGCCCTCAAGAAGAATGGATATTCAGACTACACAATCCGTAAAGCTATCACCCCAACCGTTGGGAAAGAACCATCTGAGGACCCAATCAAAACCATCACCTTGCCATACATAGCAGGGGTCACTAAAAAGATTACCAAAATCATGAGCAAACACACGATCCAGGTTCGATTTAACACAGTACATACAATTCGTGATTTGATCCCCTCTGTGAAGGATGTGATCCCTGACATACAATACCCCGGCGTCTACAAACTAAGCTGTGTCTGCGGCAGCAGTTACATTGGGAAAAGCGACATGTCTCGGACCATGTTCGTGAACATAAAGCAGATCTGAAACACGGTAGGACCAATACCTCGGCCGTGGCTGATCGTTGTGTTAATGCGGTGGGCTCACACGAAATGTATTTCTCTAAGACGAAGGTACTTTGCAAACCCACTGGCTATAAACAAAGATTTGTTCATGAAGCCATCCATATATATAGACACAGACACAATTTCAACCGAGAAGATGGGTACAAACTGAGCAATCATTGGAAGGATGTTATCAACCAGTTGAAGTCAAAACTGGCTATGATGTTCCCATCCTACCACCTTCCGATGTTAGTTGTGCTTTACGCCCATTTCAAACTTGTGCTTTCAGTCACTTCGCGCGCCGACCCCTTGGTTGTGGCTCTGCGATCTCCCATTAACAAGCTAATCTCTCTTTAACTTGCTAATTTTCACCTGGCAGCCCTTTGATTGGTGGAAAACCAACCACCGTCGGGTTGGGCTGCCCACCACTTACATTATCATTGGCTGCTGACATTTGGGCTACACCTATTTCAAACCCCTGATAAACAGTTTGCATTGGAAGCTAACCCCCCTTTTTTCCTTAGACGACTATTTGTGTTGCAATTGAAACGTCGTCGTTTTTTTGTTATTTTCTTTGAACCTATCTACGTGACTTTACCGAAAGACCCAAGAATATGAATTCCTGCAGTCACAAAAGCTTTAAGTCAAGGCTAAATACATAGTTCCATGAAGGCCAATGGTCAAGAATTCGCCCTCCATTCACCAACCCGCACTGACCACCGTGGTGACGTACGATCAAAAGCTGCCCATGGACCACAACATGAGGAGGGTACCTCATGGAGCAGCGAGCTGGCAAAAGGGCAGTACATGTACACACAATTATTGGTAAAGAAGATGTGCAAAGAGCAATTTCCCCTGCACTGTAAATGACAAACACGAGAATTGTGAATGTCAGCTAAAGGAAGTCTGTTCATGTTGATAATAAATCCACAGCAAGCTGGACATATCTTGCTTTAAATAGAGCAGCGGGGGAGTTCATACTTCTTGCATCGCTGGCAACAAAAAAAATGCCTTTGCTGGGAATTGTACCTGATACCTCTGTGTTGACTTCTGTACTGTAGCAGTTCCTAAATACACAATGTGTCACATCAGTGGACACAAGTCATAGTTTTTAAGCATCAACCAAACCATACGAGTGTGGTAGAAGTAGTTTTGATGTTGAATACATGTTTTACTATTTAGCACTTTCTGCAATCACAGAAAACATTATTTGTGTAAATCTTAATACACCGTGGAATCTCCCAAATATTTAACACCAACAATATATTTTTGGCTTGAGACTTAAAACCGTATATCGCGTGTTGAAATAGAACATTGTTCTAAGCTCTTTTTTCTGGCTGCTAAAAAAAGACCCAGGAAGGTGCAAATTGAAATGTAAGATGTAAGGATCTAGACTTAATTTTAAAGAAGTCCCAACACAATTGTGTACAGCGCTGCCAAACTACATTTTTCACACCTCTCTGGCAATTTATATTTCTATGATTTGTAGTATTCACTGCTCAAATCTAAAGTGGGGTGAAGGCACAGTGCACGTTTCTGTTGGCAAAAATACAAATAGCTTTGTGGGCCTGTCAATATATTTCTCCCAACCCTTGCGAAGTATGTCAGCAGCCGCTTTGTGAAAGTTTCTGGTACCAAGCTAAAATATTCTGCATCGTATTTACACAACTCGCTGGCCTTCGCCAATCCGCTGCTCGATGAAAGGCTCTCCCCGCATGCTGGGTAAATCATCGGGGTTTCTATGACCATAGTTTCACCATGCTGGTCAGCTTACTTTGAGAATCAGATAATCACTTCGCCGTTGATGTTATTCGTAGCTAAGAATCAAATGCATCCGGTAGCTGTGTTCATTGCAGCAGTACATCTTCTTGGTTCTTTCGTTAAAGTCACGTAGAAGGGAAGTAATACAATAATAAAAATAAAACATAAAATTATTTTATTATGTTTTATTTTTATTATTTTATTACTTCCCTTCTACGTGACTTTACCGAAAGAACCAAGAAGATGAATCCCTGCAGTCACGAAAGCTTTAAATCGAAATGCAGCAGTACACTCCACCATTTCACCACCAATCTGCATCCCTCCTGCATAGTGTAAGCATAATACTGGTAGGAACGAAGTGGACCAGACCACCAATAGATGAATGTGTCCGTCCGTCCGTCCGTCCGTCCGTCCGTGGGAGGGGTGGTGTTGAGGGTGGTGTTGGAAATGAAAGACTACGAGTCTTTAAATCTCACAGCGTTTCTTGTCAAAACAAACACTTTTAATTAACGTTACACTAGAATACAGTAATTTTTTCTTATACTCCTCTATACCCGGTCGATATCTCTGTACCGGTACTAAGTATTATTCCTACCAGCCCACCCCGCAGGGTCCTGTTCAAATGATGTTATTGTTTCTAGGCCAACCACACGATTTCGTAAAGTGTCTCACATTTTTGCAGTTACCCAATACTTAAGGGCAATTAACTGACCAATTTTAAAGTAGTTTAAAAGTATTACATCAATTAAAGCCAGGCCCTCTCATAGCCAAACCTATGTTCTGTAATGCTAAACCAAGGTTCATAACGTCCTCACAGTACCATAGTCGAAAGTGTGATGAAATTGGAACAACTCTTAACTCATACAAGCGTGAACTGTCCCTTTCAGCCTTGCCACAGCTTACAATATGCATGTAAGAAATTCAATCACGTGTTAATATATCTCAATGAGTAGTGAGCTAGGAAACTCGAGATAGAGGAACCGGTGGCAAGTGTGCCAGATTGATTACGAAAAAGTATAGGTGGTAGGCGTGAGTGCATTTTAAGGTCATCTGTGGGGAGATACTCCAATAAAAAAAAGGAAACGTGAAATGTCATGTTTTAAATGAAACCAGCTCGAGTTTTATATATATTCTACAATTTGAAGTTTTTGTGACTGCAAGGATTCATACTCTTTAGTTTTTTCGGTAAAGTCACGTAGGTAAAAAATTTAAATAAATTAAATCACGACGTTTCGGAGGCAACACAGTATATATATCTGTGTTGAACTTATTTCGCACCGTACGTAGCCGAGTGTGCTAATCAGAGGTGCGGGCGAACAACAACAAAGGTATTTCAGGACACCCCTTCGATTGTTAAGATGTAAAGCGTCTTCTTCACTCTGGACGATGCAACGATTGCAAACACAGCCCCAACAGCTCCACCAGTTTAGCCATAAGCTAGAAGCAAGCATCCTAAATATCTAAAACTGATAACATTATCTTGAACTTTCGGTAAAGTCACGTAGAAGGGTGACTTTCAGACCGCATTCCATTCTCTTCCTCTCCCCACCTCCTCTTCTCCGAACATAGATGGACTCGTCCATGTGACCAACTGCCAAATCGCTGTCCGTGGTGCTGACGTTAAGAAAAAACCGACGCTTTTTTCAAACTTTTCTTGCTGTGTTTTTCACACCCGATGATGATTGCTTGTGTTGCAGTCGAAACGTCGTGAGAATTTTATCGTTTTATATTTTTTTTATTTTATTGTTTCCCCTTCTACGTGACTTTACCGAAAGAACCAAGAATATGAATCTCTGCAGTCACGAAAGCTTTAAATCAACATTATATTGAACGTTTCGCAAAGCTTGAGATGGCAGCGCAATTAACGATTTAAAAACTCAACTACCTGCCGCACTACAGCAGATTAATTCCGAATGCACACGTTAAGCCCTTTTTGCAAATACGCCGCCGAATGATGATGGCTTCCCTCCTCAACATGCTGGGTGTGGGATCATTGAACTGGAAGTAATAAAAAAGTGTAGCAGAACTGTTTTTCTTGCACAGACCTGTTGCCCAACTCCTAACACAAGCCCACATAATGATATGTAATTATATAATGACTCATCGCTGAAAATGTTCCTCCAAGTACAAATCAATTCTTACTTTCACGTTCCATGCATGAAGTCATACATGTGAGAACCAATTAAATATAATTTATGCAAAGCATTACCTTTACGACAATGGAAATAACGAGAGAGAATGAGGGCTCAATGTGACAGACAATGCAAATGAGAGCGCAATCAAGATTTCTAATTGTGACCCTGAATCGTGACGAACGATAAAATTATAGGGAGGGGGATGGAATTGTTACACGGTCAGCATAAACTGTGTTCATCAGCAAGTATGCATCTTTAGATGTATTTGTGCCACCTACATTTAGAATAGGGAAGCCTGAATGATACCGACAAGCAGGAGGAATACTTACACTGTCACCGACGTTCTCCGAGAACAAATCACCGCCTGCCGTATCGCCTACCACCACCTCTGTGATCTCGTCTTCAATTTCCGCCCATCTCCTGCAGTGACATCACCAGAAAACGAATTTGAAATATTCATATTACAAAGTTGCTCTACGTTTGGGAGTTGTATGCGCTCAAGGGGAATACTTTTGTTCAGGCAAATAAATTCGCGTAGGAAAATTTACGTGAAGTTTTAAATGTGCCACTCACATCTTGGCGCACTTTTCAAAACACATCAACCGTCGTAGCGATCTGCCCCATCGTTGGCGATTAAGACATCGGTATATTTCACAAAAAATATGGAAATGGAATTTTCGCCAACATGCATTTGAGCCCTTGATTCATATTAAAAATAATAAAGGTGTACTTTTCTCAAAGTGGGACAATTTAAGAAACTGCACAATGAGCAACTGTATGCCGATTGTCATAGAAACATTTTTCGTGCCTGAAATGTGAACTCTGACCTCTCTAAATCTGCATCATCGACTTTGTCTGGTGACGAGGGTGACGTTGATGCCTCGGCCGCATTACGACCACCACCAGCAGTGGTGCGTTGTTGTTCCGACGGTGCACGTGGAACCACTGTGTCAGGGCTGGACCTGGGCGGAGGTGGTGTGTTGTCTACCACAGTCCACCGTTCTGATTCTCCAGACAGCTTCCTTTGTAACTTCAGAAGAACTGGCTCCGTTTCTGGAAGACATATACCCCCCATGTCAACACTGAACATTTAAACAGACACATATGGATGTCTAAACCAAGGTTTGCCAACCTGCCATCTTTGTGACCCACCAATTCTGTCTTTTCAATTCACCAATCTTTTCCAATCAAATACAAGTAATAAAAAGCCTTCATTATTTGAACGGAAATTACATAGAGGGGAGTAGAGAGATGAGGGCGAGAGAAAAGTTGGATTGAGTCCATGGATTGCGAGCCTGTAGAGGGATCTATGTATCGAGGTGATATACAGTAAAACCTTGGATTGCGAGCATAATTCGTTCCGGAAACGTGTTTGTAATCCAAAGCACTCGTATATCAAAGCACTCGTATATCAGTTGTGATCACGTGACGCTCGGCAGACAAAGCGTATACGTACTACTCGTATTGCAAGACCTCGCTCGTTTATCAACTTAATATTTATTTAAAAAATTTGCTCGTCTTGCAAAACACTCGGAGAACAAGTTACTCGCAATCCAAGGTTTTACTGTAGTTCCATTTACGAGTGGGAGTGAGAAATCTGGTAATATGTCCTTATGTCATAGAAGTTTATCCCATAAGTTTGAAAACGCCAATTAAACTCCAACTTTAGAGATTATACAACTCCGCCAACCTGTCATTATTCGTTTCCCCTGGATGCGCCGACTTTAAAAGGTTTGTTTTTGATAGTAATCATTTGGTTTCTAAGGCCGAGGGGGCAACACATGAGATATAAGATGTGGCAAATGTACCGGATGTTCGCTTGTGTTCCACTGGCCGCGATGCAGCCGACGGAGCGACAGCCTATATTCAAGAGAAGAAAAGATGTTATGGTATTAAAACACTAATTTCATGATTTAAAATTTACAGTGGACACCAATATCCTTCCAAGTTTAATGTTCTAAAAAAAGCACTCCAATCCTATGTTGTACCCGGTGTACCATGTCATTATCATAAACAATATCTGCACACTGAAATGTGCACTTTATAATGTTGAACAGAATAACATTTTGCGATGAAATAATTAAGCGTTCATATTTTATCTCCAAATTGCAATGCTAAATTGACAACCGAGCGGACTCAAAATTTAGGTGAGATTTTGTAACAAGACACCAATTACCAAAACACAAATGCTCGGTCAATTCGTCTAATGATGAACATTTGAGAAATGCTACTATAGGTCTCCAATTAAACGTTGGTCAATGAAGTGCCATTTAGTGAAAACATTTATGGAAAGTCAACAAGTTGAAACATTTACAAACATAAATGATCATATTTTACTCACAAACATGCTTTTTTAATGTTATGCATATTTTGTCAAATGTGTGTTAGGATGCATTGAATACACTTTAAGTCAAATTAGCTACATGTGATGATGATATCCAATTGTGGAAAACAAAATACTTTTCGATAGGTGTTGAATAGAAACAATTCAGCTTTGTAAAAAAATGGCTCAATATATGAACAGATTTTGATTCGTATGAGCTAATTTTCATCTAATACGTTTCTATATATTTATTTACTTTCCCTACATTTTAACCCAATTTTGTTATCTCGCATCACGTTGAGACGAACAAAATCAATTTGGATCTCACGTGACATTTTTCATCTTAGAAAATGGCCCCCGAAAATGGATATCACAAAGCTACCTTCAAGTGACCTCTGGTTCACAAAGAAGGAGACAGCTTTCCCATCTACTCAGCCACTGAAAGCAATGTCCACTGCATTTCAGTTCAACTGATATTTTTAAGTTCTCTGTGTTGGAATGAAGCAAAATCAAGTTGAGAACCAAATTTTTTGCTAGGTTTTTTTTGCGCCATTATTGGTGACCTCCCTGAGACCAACAATTATGACACTTGAGAACCCGGTTCAAACCACAGGCAGCAAGCAGGTGCCCGGATTAAAATCCAGAATCTTTGGCAAAGCCAGTTTATCAACGTCACTTCTTCAATGGACACCCCAAGCGAGTGTTCAAGATCAGAGATTAAACACAACACCTGTTTGGGGGTAGACTCTGGCCGCACAACAGAGTTAGTAGAAAACTGATAGATTTTCATTCTGTAGTCGACGGGGCCGGCATCGTCCCGAGTCCCTTCTTGGCACCGTTGGATGTTGACGAGAAATCCAGCGACGAGGAAGACGCCCGATCCCAGGGCCTCGCTCACGTGGCGCGAGATGTAGCTGTACACAGTGGAGCGCTGGCTGCTCCAGTCACAGTGGCTTTGCAAGTGCACCACCATGCTCTTGCGGGAGCACGCGGGTGTCTCTTTCTGCAACTGGTTGCAAGAGTTGGCAGGGGCGGGATAGGATAAACAATGTGGAGCTCACTCAAATATTCAACATTCGGTTCAAAACAATGACAAGGAATCCAAGCAGTAATGTCCAAAAATTAGACGGCACAATGATAATAGATCCCTTGACTGCGAGGAAGCTGGATACATTATGAATGCACTGACCAATTGGCTAAATAGCAGCTTAAGAGATGTGCAGGAAAGGCTGCTCACTTCATGAGCCACCACAAAATTAGTCGTAGCTCATGGTTCCAGGTTGTGCAAGCGACAAGCTGCCATTGGTTTCCCAGTCCTCGGCGATACACGCAGGTGAATTGAGTAACTGGAATGAGATGGCTTCATCAGAGCTGTCTCAAATAGCCAGGTGCATGTAGTCCATGTAGCATCCCAGGTGAATGGTCCTGGTGTTTACCCAGCACTGGAGCATTATCAAACATTACTCGTGTACTTCAATGACAAACTAAACATAATACAATATTTACAGCTGTTTCTCCATCCACAGGTGGCTGAAGTCCTCCCCATGCTGCGTCGGGGTCAAGGGAAGTATTTGCTTCACCATGCCAATGAGTGCAGGTTGGTGAACCAGCAATCAATATTCGCCGTGGCCAAGAATAATGCCACCACTCCACCCAATTATCAATTCATCCATCCATAAACATCACTTGAAATTGTAAAATCCAATGTGAGGTGCACCCTTATCACAGTACAATCTAAATCCGCAACTCTTATTTAGCCTAGATCATGGGGTTTGGAACCAAAATAACAAGTACTTTTTATTCGAATTTGGTTAAAAAATTCAATACTTCAAGAGCCACAATTAACGTGAATGCAAGAAGGTGGTCCTGACTAAAGTCACAAAGCAGTCCTTAAAGAGCCACATGCGGCTCTGGAGACGCAGGTTGCAGACCCCTGGCTGAGGTTATCACGAGCTGCCGTGAGAGCTAGCGTTGGCTATAATGTATACAAACTCATGGCATGGCCCTACCTTCCTGCGACAGGCGCGTGTGATGGAAATGGCCACTTGGGACACTCCTGGCTCGGCACTGATGGCGTTCTCTTTGACCGCCCCCCCATGTTCATCGTCACTCGCATCCACAGCAGCCACTGGTTTGCTGCACTGTTTCTTCTTGATCGCCCGTAAGCGTAGGCTGCGTCTTGTCGAGGCTGCGGATCTCGCATTCCTCCTCCCTGAAACAGCAACAAGTGTAACTCAAAGTCAACAACTGCTTGCACTTTAACACTCTGATAAAGCGTAATGGCCATCTACGAGTGCCTCCTTGCATTTTTTTGTCCAATTCCTTATTAGACATCACTTAAGAAAACAAAGTAAGTGAAAACATAACACATGATTAACAAGAGTTATACTTCCCACCAATAGACACATGAAGTACTGCTTAGCGCCTGTTTGAAGCCCTCAGCCAGTTTTGGAAATTCCACATTTCTATGACAGGAGGTTGAGTGTATCAACAAGAAAAATTCTGGTGATTTTCCAAAAACCGAGTGACGAGTAGCTTACTGCCCCACTGTAAGTAATAATGGTAACAGGAATCAATCAATCCAAGACTAATAACGCACCGCCTTCTTCGTATTCAACAAAAAGCTGTAACGGAAGCGCAGCTGTAGTGGCAAAGAGAAAAGAAAAAAATTCTCACCTGTGACTGACGAGGCAGACATTTGCTTTCTCCGCCTGTCTTCCCGTTTTACGTTTGCAAGACGTCTGCGGTTGCACTTGGTATATCGACGAAATTCTACACTGGAATCTTCAGAATCTGTGCCATGTAAAGTGGGAAAAGAGTTATTTCTAGTCTCCACTCTTAAATTGGTCCAATGCCACAATCAAAACACAGCACCACTCCACGATTTATCAATAAAATAGTACAGCGTAAAGTTTTCTCGCGGCTGTACTTTATAGTTCTCTGATATGTTTCTGGGTTTTACCGCGTGCCATGCGGCATGATGTCTGATGCTTTGTTCCACGTGCTGGAACCTTCAGGAAACGAATGTCAAAAATCACGCGAACCAATATGGCAAAACTCAATAATACATTGAAAAGTTGTAAATATGCCTTGCATGGTCAAAATGGTTAGAAACTCTAACCATTTTGGTTAGAGTAGCTTTATGAAATTTAGTACGCTTTAAGAAATATCTTTCATGCTACATCAGCACATCCTCAACAGAGATGTTTAAAACAAAATCCATTCGTCACCACATTTCACGATAGTGTCTTGCAGACAATACCCACCTTTTCCATTAAATCCAGCGTCAACGTCAGAATCCGAGTCAAGGAAGTCGTCATCTTCCTTCTCGTAACACATATCATTGTCCACATCTTCTCCGCTCGCTTCCGCCTCTGTGCTGCTGTCCACCAAGCCTGGACGTCTCATAAGCACCCTCCGCTTACGTCTGCTGCACACATCGCTCACGAGGCTCCGAGGCTTCGAGTTCAAATCTGACTTTTCCACCTTCACTTCTGGAACCAGCAGAGCCTTTTGGTACTCCCTTGACATGATGCGCCTTTGCATTTTACGGAACGGAAACGTCCCAGCATTGAGTATCTGCCAAAAAGGGAAAGCACATATTTTAAGTAAATACATTGAAGAAAAAAACTACAATTATACACTAAGATGCTTCAAACAGGCATTCGAAAGGATGTCTAATTTACATTAAATATTTAGACTAACCGTATGCTATGAAACCACGAATATAACAGTAACATACCATCTGTGTGGTGAGCGCAGAACTTGCGATCATGGCCCTTGTCTTGGTGATGGCGGTCTTGGGAAGTCCGGCGTCTAGCGACCTCTGTTCTAACCACTCCATGGTGCAATCGCTCTCCTTGATGGCTTCGGCGCATGTCCACGTAATGTAGTTCTGCCCAAGACAAGCCGTGTTCCTGTACACAGTCCGCCCAATCTTCTCAAGAGCCAGTATCGGCCCAGGGAAGCTCGGTACCAAATTGTCACATTTCTGCCGCACGGGCACATCCCAGGCCTCCACAGTACAGATCTTCTCCCGTTTTGGCGTCGCACTGAGCCCTGCTTGTACCTTGCTGTTCGACGTGTTGACATCTGCATTGGCATTCTGGCGATCACAAGATGTTCTGGCTGTAGGTGAGATCCATGCTTCAGTCGCAGTTTCAGCCTCCGCATTAATGCTGTCCACAGCTAAGCGTTTTGCACAGTGCCTGTCACGTTCTTCAGTGTTACTTTGTTTAGGGCAACCCGGGAACGTGTGCGAAGGTGTGCCTGGACTCGCCAACTGTGTGGCGACTGATCTGCTCGCCTCGATCTCCACGAGCTGCTGCCTGAGTCGACGCTGCCTCTGCTGAACATATTCGAACCGCCGAATGTAGCTGTGACCCGCTTTGTGTGGCAGCCTGAATGGGACGGTGGCTACTGTGGCCTCGAGCGAGCGGAGGGGGGGCGGCTCCACACAAATGTCAGAGCACTCCACCTCCAGGTACTGATCCAGTTGCTCGCTCAGAAACACGGACCTGTTCTCAGGCTTGAGGCTGGGGGTTTTGAGTGGGGCAGCAGTAATCTCTGGAGTAAGGCTTCTGGGAGTGATTGTTTCGCCTAAGGAAGAAAAAACATGCGTATGTATAGATTCTGTAAAGGTTTCCAACATGCATCACACAATCATATTATGTGTATGTATGTTGAATTTCTTTCACACCTTACATAGCCAAGTGTGCGAATCGGAAGTGTGGGGGAAGGACAACAAACTAAACACTCCAAGGCAAATAATTTCAGTGCTGGTTTTCAGTGAGCCTGTGGGCAACCCTTTGACCAATTTGTTAAACCCCGAATTGCAACAAAACTTTACATTGCAATTTCGTTCGTATTAGATCACCGTTATGAGTAATTTGGCCCCTATGTTGCAGACAAATGGACAGACAGATGAGAGTTAAGGTATTTTTGCTTTCACCCTTAGTTGGAAAATGTAAAAAATGCACACTCATTCATGTATTTTCTCAACTGCAAGGTCAAGCTGCAATATACTAAACTTAATAGCTGCGTGCACTGAGCTCCATGAACATTAAAAAAAACTGTCAAATCAGATATTGTGCTTTAAATAAATCTAATTTCTGAGAGCACAAATTATTATATGAATTAAGCATGAATATTCAATGATCCTTCACATTGACAAGTCAATGAATCGTCTCAATTCAGGGTTATATTTCAAATAACTCTCTTTTTAACAGTGGCGAATATAGCAGCTGGTATTTGTTGCAGGGGTGAACCCATTACACTCAATATTTTTACTTGTACACGCGCACAGCAGTTTTGTTAATACACTGGCACCCAATGCATGCAGATCCTGGGCGTTATGTCCGTACTTAAGCATAGTACGTTACATTAGATTTTTCTGCACTGACACAACATATATGATTTGCAGCACATAACATTCTTATACACATTATCGGACCTATGTAAGCTTAAGCATGTAAGTTAGATGCCATGTTAGACGTCTAATTTACATTGTGAGGAGTTATTACTTACTTGTGTCCTGCAGCTTAAAGTCGGAATGTGGAGGCGATGAGTGGGATGCCTCTTTGCAGCGCAGTGCATTTGAACCCATTCTCCTTCCAGCAAACTGCCTCCATCCCTTCTTCTTATGTATGACTGGCGGAAATGTGGCGTCTTTTAAAACAAAAACATTTCAGAGTTAATAATAGTAAAGCTACCATGGACATCTAGTATCATCTAATAGTCATGCGATTAACAATTCTATAAAAGCTGAACGGGTGTATCTATATTATTTCCCGTGGTGTAATAATAGCTCAGTTTTCAATACTAATAACATTTAAATTTTATTTTTAAATGCATGTCAGCCATAAACATTTTACGAAAATGTAAACTGTTCAAAGTCCTTCATGCCACACTCGTTATACAAACCTGAGAAACCTGTGAGCTTCGCCTTTATGGATTCATCAGTATACTCATCATGAGGGGGGCTCATTTTCCTTGGTAACCGCATTTCTGACAGGATTTCCTAGATAATTGATAAAAAGCAAAGCACCAACATCATAAAATGCGTTAATGATACAGTGCCAATTTGAGAAATCTGCACAAACTACACTCGTAGTAAGTGATCAAATATAGAAATAAGTATTTTGTTTAAACTTAATACATTTATTTTTACTTATCTTGGTCAGTCGCAACAAGCTTTGTTCATCATAATTTCTTGTAACCAACATATGTAATGACAACAAAGCAATTACCTTAATTGGTTCATGTACAGTTTTTGGTGCGTGATGAAGTTTGCTACTTAAAACATTATGTTTGCCATCATTGCACTCATCACCACTGCGTTTTTTGGAGATGTTCAAACGGGCTTCTGCTTCAAGTTTTGCCAGTAGGTTATAAATAAAATGTTCTTGTTTACCCATGGGGCTACAGTCACTGTCGCTCTGTAATGCAGATAGAGCAGTTTCAAGCAAGCATTTTTCCTTCGAGATTCCTCTTTGATGCTCTACAGAATCACTACGTGTGCCATCTTCCGACATGCCAGCAGTATTTGTTCTTGAGTTATCAGATCCACCTGCTGTCCTTTCACTGTCCAACAGCGAGCTTGGTCTTGTCGCACAGGCACCTGTTACCTCATTAAAGATGTCCCAGAACCCACGTGTAGATCTGCAATACCTCTGGGCAGGTTCTTCTACAGGCAAAGCACCAGCTTTCAAGGGATTCTTTACTTCGCAATTATCTATGATGCCCGCCATAGTTTGATAAACTGTGTTTGAAAGCAAATTTTCTGTGTTTCTGGCTTCAGCAAGATGCCGCTCTGCCAGCTTTTTCAGGGACATCGACGCAGACCCCGACTTCTCCAAAAACATTCCATCCACCTCCAAATACGCACCGCTCTTCCCCTTGGGTTCCTTTGTCGTGCTCACGGCAGTGTGACCAAACAGACAGTTAGAGACAACATTAGTACCACTATCGCCACTGTTGCACAGCTCTACCATGGGCTCGTGACGCGCGCTCCCCCCGCGTTGCCCGGCGAAGTGGAAGTCATCGTCCTCCATGGCTGGCTTGTGGCTGGGCGTTAGGAGGGTCTCCATTCCATTACCATTGTGTCCTCCAACAAACAGCGCCAAAGTTGCTCACGGCTAAACTTTCTGGAAAACAGAAAGCAAATGGACAATATTGATAAGCGCGGCTCAGATCTGAAGACACATGAAGAAGACAATTTTAAGTGTGGCGATTCTGTAGAACAAACACATGATGCGGTAAAATCATAACTGGTTAATTGCCTCACAGACCATGGTAATAGGCGCACCACAACCAAATATTTGAAAAATGGGGGCAGGGATAAGGGCACCTATTGACTGCAATCCAATTTTTCCAAGCAGCAGTGATGGTCGGCAAAGAACAGTAAAGCAAATGGGTGATAACTTATACAAGCGGATCTCGGTTATGTCTCCACATACAAATATATGATTTAGTCATCAGTCCATTGGCTTTCGAGACCAATATTACGATGCTGAATTTGTTTATTTAAGCAAACTCGAGCTTGCTAATCTATCTCTGCATAATTTTGAGTTTTTCCCACATGTGCATCCTCGGACGGTGCCCTTGTGCCCACCACACTCCAAATATAAATTCGTAAACGTGTCGACAATCTTAATGCAAGGACCCTCCTGAGTGTTTAAACTCATTTAGGCATTCTCGATAAATATTGACATATTCGTTCCAGGATAACATTTACGAATTGTAAACACAAAAGGGTCTCATAAAACATGATTTTTCATATCTGGAACTCCTCTACCACTCAAACATGCAGTCCTATAAACGAAACAACGTAACAGCTAAATACTAAACACATTCCCCAGTTCCGTATTTTAAAGATGCACGTGTTTACGTTTTTAAATCTTTCGGTTGTATTTGCACTCTGGTAACCTAAAGAGCTGCTCTTCGAAACGTATTATCATTTCCAGTGACATTCTGAATAAGGCATTTTAGCAAAAATGTTTCACTGGTTTGTCAGAACGATAGAATGTAAGACATACAAGTCCCATTTTTAAACGTTATATATTCAACCGGTCACCATTGCAGGAGATATATCGTCGTCTCAACGAGCTCCCATATGGTTTTAATTTAAGTTCACGCAACAAAAGCGCGGCTATACACTGCCAAGAATGAAGGCGTCTTTACTCGCATCACCTTTTTGCGGTAAATAATCGACCAAAATAAGACGATATTGTGTATCGCGGGCTGTGATAAGATAACAACAACAAAAAACCCAGGAAGAAAATGCTAATTCAGCCCCCATCGTGGAGACAAAAGGCTGAAACCATCACGGCAAAAAAAAACCTCAACTCAATTAATCACTCTCAACACACCACAATCACAATACAAAATACACACACACGAATACTTTACCGTTAATCTGTTAAGATATCTCTTTACAGGGTTACGGCGACGGGACATTAACCAGGGTTACCGTGCCACAAAGGGCAGCGGCGGGCCCTCGGGGTCAACGAAGACCGAAACGCGACCTAGGCCGCAGGCTTTTACCAGGCTCGCCTGAAACCCCAGGCGGGAGATGTGCCGCTCAGACCGGGCCGAACCGCCACGACGCACCAGCTACCTGAATGCTCGGGGTTTTTACGGAAAAAATAAACACCTTTGTAATTTTTTTTTTACAATTAACGTTTCTGTTGTTGTGCCACTTGAGCTTTGTCCGGGTCAGAAATAAATAACGCCTGATGGTGATAGTAATGTAATGCAGTTAATAATTAAGCATGCAGCCACAGCGGAAACGCTGGGGGTGCTGACGTCAGCAAATTACCGCGGGCCGTGACGTCAGCACAACACCCGGGGTCACTCGATTCACAGATGACCTATCGGGATCAATATTACAGATTAATCGATTAAAAAAAACAATTACGATTGTTGAATCTCACGAATAGTGGCCGTGCTTGGCATAAGCAAACCGAGAAAACGAGCAAATCCCCAAGCATATCAAACGGTTCTAGGATTAATAAAAAAAAATAATACGTCAAATGCTATCTCTAATTTCGAACCCAATAAACATTGCAACGTCAAGAGCCAATTTATGTATCTCACCCATATGTTGTCTTTACTCACAATTTAAATGATCATACTACATATCTCGTGTCTGTACCTCGTTTGTCTTCTCACTGGGATTGTATAAATTGAAAATGGTGGACAAAATAAATTAGATTTAGAATCCCCAATGAATTGGCACCAGCATGGCACGTGCATTAAAAAAAGTAATTAAGAAGTTATGTTTTAGAATTTAGAGTATGTACTGTACTGTACACGACTGCATGTTGAATAATGTTGAGGGATTTTATCTCCCTCACCAGGTATAAAGGAGGTCGCGGGTTCGATCTCAATCCTGGCGCCTGCTGTATATTTGGAGTTTGCGTGTCTCTCTCCCCATAGTCCCGTGGATTTTTCTCCAGGTCCTCCGGTTTTTCCCTCCACATTTAGAATCAACATACGTTTAGAATATCTCAGCTGCTATAAATGTCCACGTGATAAGCCGCTTCGTTGCGCTATCGTTTGTGGCCAGGTCGCTTCTGAAAAGGAGCTTACATAGCTCAGTGAGCCTTACCTGGTCAAATAAAAAAAAACACTTTAAATAGTTTATAGGCACGGCTTGCAGCAACAGGGGATGCGTAGCAAGCAGCTTGAAAGCATTCAGTCAGGGATGGAAGTGAGTTTTGTGGAACTGAAGGACCACTCATTCAGCCATCAACCAGGCGTGTGGGACAGCTGGCGGGTGAGATGCGCCGCATGCGAACGGCAGTGATAAGAGGGTCTCGACAAAGCAGCGAAGTGGGGGGCGGTGGGGGGCTACGTGTGGGCGAACAAGTCCCGGGCACTTTGCCCGTAAATGTCGCCGGGTGTCCCGTGTGTCCCCTGGTGAACCAACGTTAATCGCACGCCACTCTCGATGGATTGTGCCAACCAGCGCGGGTGCTTGCAGGGCATGGATATTTCCTTGTCTCACGACCTCTTTATTCTACTCTCTCTCTCCTCTCCCTTCCCACCAAAATCTATGTTTTTGGGTTTTCACCCAATCCCTTTTTTCGCGCCGTGCTTTAATTATTTTACTGGGGGTGACATCTTACAACTGAACCTCTCCCCCCGTACAACATCTACAACAAAACGGGATTTTAATAGATTCTCTATAATATCAATGTGTTGTTTTGGAGATATTAGTATGGGTAAAATCATACACTGTATAAGCAGGGATCTGAATGGCTTGATATCCTAGAAAGAGCGTGAGTTATATTTAACTAAGTACTGTATACTGAAAACTGAGTGAAAAAGTGAGTTACGATGTTTAATATTCATAAAGTTAGGTGAAATCTTAAGAGTGGACACAACCACTCAGCCGATTGCAAGCGACAATAATGAATAACCTTACACAATTAATTCCACGTATTCATTATTAACATTGCCAATTGATATGTTGTCAACAATACTGACGACGTATACGTACGTCAACGGAACGGGAAAGGGGTTAATTTGCCTCAGCCAAAGATGGGCTGTAGCACACGGGGCGTGATGGCGTCACGTCGGCCATGTTGCTTAGGGGTTGTCTTCCTGGCAGGTGATGGCACTTGCAATGGAAGTAAAAACGTAATCCATGGGCCAAAGTTTATCCCGCGGCGTGTCCTTTATCTAAATAATCTGTCGCACAACTTGATTGCATACAATGGAATGAATCGCCTATAAGCAGGAAATTAAGTTGCACGATTTCATGGAGAGCGATTGTGGTTGCATAACTGATCGCTCAGGTGTGGACCTGAATTTAATTCCTTTGACACCCATATTTACTTTTACTTATGACATCGAAGAATATTTAACAACCGTAATCAGCCAGACTTACAAGCATGACACATAAAGAGCATTTTCTGAATTATCTTCTGTATCTTCACATAAATCACAAATGTTTAGTCGACTATTACCCATGAGCATTTGTTTAAGCAATCAAGCGACTGGTGTTGACATTCTGAGTCTCATAAGCAGAGTTAGGGTTGTTAAACAAATGCTGCTGGGTTACCAGATGTTATTGGAGAGAGCACTTCATCTAAACTATGGGGGGGGGGGGGGAAGTTCAGTTCTAACACAATATTTCATCCAAATGCATGCGTTATTGTGGAACATTATTGGGTTAAAATTCGGAGATGATTTCATTAAATCGCAAACCTAAATTATCAAGCTCATGAAATTAATGGTGACCGGCAAAATCTTAATTTAGATAGGCCCCGGTGACGGATCAAATATCCTAAACAAATGCGAGTACTCAAAAACACGAAAAGACATGGACAACATTTTGTCAACACCGTACTGAATAATAAAATAATCTACTCTTACGTATTTGCTAACTACTGCTAATGGTCACGCCACTTCTAGCAGAAGGGCCTCCACTAAGGAGAGCTCTCGAGTCTAGAGAACCCTTCCTAAGGGTTATTTTGGTCTCAGAAGACGGGGCAGTACCCACACTTTACCCTATCAGTTGACCGACAGCAGCAGTGATACAGTGATGAGACAACTATGGACTTGGTTTCGTCTATTTAACCATTATTATTTCAACACTTCGGGTTTCGCGACCAATATTTTACACAATAGGCTTTTTTGGGGCTAGTTAGCGTAAATATAAATGTGTCGTTAAACCTGCCACCACCTGATAGAGCAAATTAGTAAGTTTTGTCTCGTAAACAAAACATGCCAATTTGTTACCAGTACAGCACACCGGCGTGTTGTGGGTTTATTCTCCAACACACCGATGTGCTGTACTAGTAACGAATTGTCATGTTTTGTTTACGTGAAAAAACTTACTAATTACCTGTGTCGGGTGGTAGCGGGGTTAACGACACATTTTTATGTACACGATCTAACCCACGAAACCTCTATTACAGTTTTGTCTTTATTAGGACCCATCGGCATGGGTCAAAGTTTATCTGTGGGACTCATGCATCACTGCTACTGTCATTCGGTCACATTTACTCACATTTTGATGGTGACCTACGGCAAGATGACCACAATATACATCTTGAGAAAATAATGAGTTTTTTTATTGTGTGTAAGAAGCACTGTTATGCACTGTGTGCTTCTTCACACCTGTCAACTCATGTGGTTTACCCGTATTTGTGTACAGGGAAATTGAGGAAAAACATGTTTTTGTCTATTTGTTTGTGTTTCTCCCTTGTGATGACACTTTGTAGGATGGACGTTGAGATTTATAAGGGAACGGGGTTGACCAATAAGGTCTGAATTGGTTTGTAATAAGTTAGGGCACCGATAAGGGGTTTAAAGTATGGCGACGGCTTTGGGTGACCTTCATCGAGCAGTGGATTAACCATCTCCGATGACGATACGAATTCTAGGCGACGTTTCGAGCCGTGGGCCCTTTTTCATAACACATTTCTCGAAAATCGTCGCCTGTTACATTTTTTTCCTTCTTCTTTTAAGGCCACGACAGTGCTCTTGAGACAAATAATGTTTTTGGCTTGTGTGCCCCACACTTGCCAACGCAGCAGTAGCTTCGTCATCACCACCACCAGCAACCACACCGTTGGTATAAACACTGATCGTTTCACGTTGATTCTGGACACGTGCGTACGTTCTCCATTGAAAGATAGTCATACTCTTAGGTTTTTTTCGGTAAAGTCACGTAGGAGACAAGAAATAATAAAAATAAATAATAATATATTTAATAATAATTATTATTTCCTTTTACCTACGTGACTTTACCGAACAAACCTAAGAGAGAGTATGAATCCTTGCAGTCACGAAAGCTTCAAATCTAGAGAGATCTTCTTGGTTCTTTCGGTAAAGTCACGTAGAAGGGAAGTAATAAAATAATAAAAATAAAACATAATAAAATAATTCTGCGTTGTGGCCGAAACGTCGTGAGAATTATTTTATTATGTTTTATTTTTATTATTTTATTACTTCCCTTCTACGTGATGACTTTACCGAAAGAACCAAGAAGATGAATCCCTGCAGTCACGAAAGCTTTAAATCGAAATCTAGAGAGATAGTCACTCAGCAACACCGTTCAAAGTTAAATGCCACCACCACAACTGCCACCTCCTCCTCCGTTGCGAAACACTGAACGCGTCATTCACTCACGAGGTGACCGCGAATGGAAATCGACAATTACGTTTACGGAACTCGCAGCCACAAAGCCATCACCACCGATCTGGCTTGGCTTGGCTGGCCCCCCACCCCGCTCCACGCAGCCTCTGAACCTCTTGAAGATTCACATTGTCGTCGAAGCAAACCACGGTGAGTGCGACAATCGGGAGATGTCTTTTCGCAGTCCGTTCAAGCGTCCGTAGCATCGTGACACATTTGTTATGCCACGTAAACTCGTCGTGTCCTTCTCGCTGAACGCGTAACGTGTGCGTAGCTCGGTTGGAGGGTTCGCGATTCGGGTGGTGGTTTACGCACGGGCCGAGGGTGATCCTCACTGTCTGTAAGTCGAATACTTGTGTCTGTTCGCCAAACCCACCACCCCAACCCCGATCGTGGACGTTGTCAATCTTTGGCAGGATCTGTTGTTGTTTGCGTTTTCATTTTGCGCGCTCGGTGTAAAACAAACGACTGTGTGGCCAAGTTTTTTAAAACTCTGCTCAGCACGAATTTACGCCGCTAGAGGTCGCTGTTGTACTTTGTTCTGGTATTTGTAACTCGTCTAAAGCAGCGGTGTTTTGACCACGGCCACTGATAATGATGATCCGCTCTTGGGTGAGCTTTCGTGTCGTATGACTCGTGCCATCGATGGGTGTTGTGTGGGGAGAGACATCACCTGCTGTTTTTTGCAATTCCCATACAATATTCACTTCTGAAAATAGCACTCACTGCTGAAGGCAATGTTTTGGGGAATTGTTGGCCTTCTTTGGAGTTGTGTGGAAGATGTGGAGGGTTTTTTGTGGTCATATCTATATAAAGAATGCAAACTATAATAAACACACACTGCGCTGGCATTAATATTTTCTTAAGATTGAACAAAAAAACACTCGTTATCATCTTAAGTAACCTGTTGTTGAATACACCCATAAACATGCTTTACAGTACAAAGTCACGTAGGTAGAAAAATAATACCTACGTGACTTTACCGAAAGAACCAAAGAGTTTGGATTCCTGCAGTCACGAAAGCTTCAAATCATGCTTTACAGGACTTAAATCCGGTGAGAACTCGTTGAGACTAAAAAATATATATTTTAATAACGGTAATCCTCTCGATCACAGATCAATACTGTGTACACTTGACCATCTGAAACAAACATCAGGCGCCTCGGAAGGAAACAGAAAACTAATAATGCTTTACGTATTTGTATTTAATAAACAAGTGACGTTTCGTAAAATAGGGTTTAATAACTCTGGTAAATGGTGTGGTTTAAAAGTCACTTTTATAATTACCAAGCAAGTAATAACACATTTCGATAAAAACATTTTCTTTTATCCCGCCTGTGGACCTTAATATTATTTGTTTCTCCTCATCCCCGCTTAAATAAAATCCTATTAAGAAGGCTTGTCCACTGATAAGACACCGACCACATTTGACCTGAAATTTGTTTGCAGGAGGTACATAATTCATTCCATTATACGTGCAAAATCAAGGCTAAGTGGAGTAACCCGTATGTGGTACCAAAGTCATCCTCTTGCCCACGTTTATCCACACCGTTATCCACAACTTTTAACACACATAAAGAGGAGGAACAATACTGCCCCCCATTTCAACGCATAATAAGTCCCTCTTCGTGTCTCTCCATGTCAGATATATGTGCATCTACAGCCCTTTGTAAATCCACTCCTGGAAGAGGGCCTTCCCACATCGTGCAGGCTCTGAAGGGTATTAACCATACTTCACAGAAGGAGAGTACAACAATGAATGTAGCTGCACCATACTTGGACAGGGCACACCGTGCTACTGCGTTGCATGTCGGTGGAGGTGAGCTTGCCTTGATTGGTGGTAATGGTGTCAGGTGATACTTGAGCTATTGCACAATGCCTGCCTCTACACGGAGAGTTGCAAAGTCCAGGGGACGAAATCCATGATGCAGTTTTTCCAAAGCCACCTATATATAGATCTACGGGTGTGCGACGTTTGTTGACATAAAGGCAATCTTCTGATTATCTTGTGCAACACAACTCAGTTGACTCCCCTGGCTACTGATGTCAGTAATCAGTGTAACAGTTACTTTCATGAATGCTAATAGCACCCTTACAGTTTATGGAAAATATTTTAAACATTTCTAAATAATACTTTTGACACAGCAGTCATTTGTTGTCCTTCCGCTGCACCTCCGATTAGCACGGTTAGCTATGTACGGAGCGCAAGAAGTTTCACATACTGTACATACAATCAACATCTGCGATTTGCATCTGTTCCCTTGTCAAAGTCCATGCTAACCACACTACGCTTCTAGGGAGGCCCTTTCACCAGCAGTTCCATCAGCAACTTATTGCAGGGCTGCACCTTTACCCACATAAATAGGGAAAAACTGTGAACATACGTTCTTATGAATCTTGATTTGAAGCTTTCGTGACTGCAGGAATCCATACTCTTTGGTTCTTTCACATTGATGACGGACGCTTGTGTTGCGCCCAAAACGTCGTGATTTATTTTATTTTATACCTACGTGACTTTACCGAAAGAACCAAAGAGTATACATTCTTATGGTTTTTTAAATACTGTATATAAAACACTGACATACATTTGTATAATTTGTATAACACATTTGAGTGGAAGTTGCAGACACAGAGTGAGATGATGTGGTGTGTGAGGCTTAGTTTTTCTACAAAACTGGACACATCACAAAACGTAGGTGGTATTTTGCTCGACTCACTGACCACACATCCTGGAAGAAGTGAGAGAGCTCACACTTTGCCTCTCCACACATCACCTGCCGATCGACAAATTGTGGTTTCCCCATTTACACTGCTGGATGGATGGAGGCGGTGGTAGTGGGGTGGGGCGGATTTAAAAAAAAACCTGCATCATTGTTTCAACTGCCCCACCAGGAGTTCCAACCGGCGAGACAGCCGGCAGATTTTTTGACGCAAGAAATTAGCGGTGTTGCACCTTTACCTAGTTCGTACCTTGACACCGTGCCCCCTACTGACGGCATCGCTGTCTGTGTGCGTGGTGGAACAGTATCAGCATGCAGCAGCAGCAGCAGGAGACATACCCAAGCTCCCCGCGCGCACGCCGCCGGTTCGTCAAGTGTAAGCAGCGCGAGGCGCAGGGCCTGCTCCTACAGGCGGTTCGTGCCGACGAGCGCGGCGATGCGGCCCAGGCTCTGGCGCTCTACCGCTCGGCACGCGGTCACCTCGACTCCGCCCTGGCCATCCCCTGCGACGGCCCGCAGTGCACCGGGTCCAAGTGGGTCTCGCTCGCGCAAAGGGGGTGTTCCGTTTCGGGTTCATCGGGCCACTTTCAAAGCTTTTCAACTATTATGCAGCTGCCGCGACGACTCGTTTGCCATCGCTAGGGCATGCTCCGAAATTGTTCTGTCCGCCACGGTCGGTGACCCGAGCTCGATGTAATTCTCTTCACAGCATGTCAGGTGGCAGCTTGAGATTTGAGCTGAAAGTGAAAGTTGTGGAGCGGCATTTAGAGTGTAATTCCATAATCACTGTATAAAGAGGCTTTCACGGTGATTTAAGTTGGGTTCACTTGTTTACTTTCTACTTGTGAAATGTTATTGCACAGTGATTAGACCGATACAAACATCGGGCAGTGATAAATATGTAGGCCAGTGCCATCCCCTCATCTTCACCCACGCGCACTGTCCAGCATTCCGAGTGTACGGTCAAACACGATTGACAAGCTGCGCGTTGCCTCCGCCACTCTGTGCAGGTGGGATGAGACTCGCCGCACGCAGGCCAAGATGCAGGAGTCGCTGCTCGGCATGCAGTCTCGCGTGCAGGACCTAGAGGCTCGGCTTGAGCCCAGAACCACCTCCATGGTCCCCTCGGCGCCCCCGCTTGCTGCATCCGCGCTCCACGTTCCGCCCCGACCAAGCGGTCCACCCGTGTCGAGCGGCGACCCCAACTGCGGCCACCTCTACCCGCAAGTCGCGGCTCTCCCGGAAAAAGCTCCTCTTCCTCCGGGAGGCGTCTGGTTCGAGTCGGCGGGACAGCCGCCGCCTCCGCAAGGCTTACCGCTTCCGTCGCAGTCGTCCCAACGCTTGCCGCCGGCTCTACCTTGCTATGTCGCTACGGGAAGCACGGACCTCCCGCCGATGTATACCCCGCAGCCCGTGGAAGGACACACGTCGCTGTCCATGGGCACGGTGCACGGGGAGTTGCCACTGCTGCCTCCGGGCTATGCGCAGTGTAAGGAGAAGCCCTCCGGCCTGCAAGTTGCACCCGTGCAGCAGGTGCTGGGGCCGGACGCGGTCGAGCTGTTCCTCATTGCCAACGGTGCACAGATTTTCTTTGTGAGCGTGACGGGGCTGGTGAGCGCGCCCTCGTACCCGGGGTTCCTGCGCATCGCCACCTTCCGCAGCCAGGGGCCCGATGCCCCTCCCGGCCGCCCGCCAGCCTTCCTGCAGGTGTGTGGTGAAACCCGTCGGCTGTGAAAACTTTCATACCAACAGTGGAGAGATCGTGGCTGATGGTGTAGAATAACAGCCATGGCTAACAACAGTGGCAAGAGATAAATTGGCCTGTCCCTGAGCCATTGTTGTTCTGCTGTCCTTTCCGATCTTCATCAACCCACACTGACCAGCATGGTGAAGCCTGGTCAAGCAGACTCCACGATCGACACGTCACGGGGAGGCACTCATCCAGCAGTGGATAGATCATGACTAGCCATCTCAAATCTCAAATAAATTGTTAGAAGGTTGAAAGCATTGGTGGGGTGTAGTGGCATCAACAGCTTCGGCCATGGTGACAATTTGATCTTTTTCTCAATTTAATTCTTGCTGATATCCCTCTCGTCTCCTACGGCTCCTTCCATCCTCCGCCTTCCCAGGTGTCTGGGTGGCTCCACCCGCTGGTTCCGGGCTACTCGCCGGTGCTGCGCTCGTCGCAGGGCATCTACGTGTTTCCGGACATGTGTTCGGGGGAGGCCGGCGCCACCGTTGGAGTGCTCCTCTCCGCTGAGCTGCCCGCTGAGCAGCGCCATCTCTTTGAGGAGCACTTGGGACGTCTGGCTCAGTTCTGCGTCCAGGTGCGAGCGTCGCTTAGTGGGCCAGGTACCTCACCGGGAGGAGCGCCCGCCTTTGGGTTAAATCGAGCCTCGGTTAACTTAAGCCGATTGTCATCTCGCGCAGTTGAGCTGTTCTTTTGCTGTGTATGTATTTTCAAAGCTAAGCTTACCGCTGTATAAAACGTGTGAAAAAAATATTTATTTTTGACTATTTCTGTAATAAATTGGCAAATGTATAAAAAAAAGCATGCAACAATACCACGTAATGGGTAGGGTTGGCACACACGCAGCACAAATATAAAACGAGTTTACGTATCTTATAATTTTGCGTCGAACTAGGACCGTTGTGTTAGAGAAAGGGCCCTTGCCTATAAACATTTGGCAGTTAATCAGGATTGGTTCAAGCAAGCCTGACTCTGCTGATGACACACTGAATATCGAAACAGGTTGAGAGTTTGCTTGCAGTGAACCTGAGCGCTGCTTAATAAGATGCATGCCCCGAATGCGGTGCTGCTCCGATGGGTCGTGTAAAAATAAATATTCTACATGAGGAGACAATGATGGAAAGGGGAGGCCGTTATTGATATTGTTGCACAAATATAAGTAAGCGCTCGCCGTCTTTCCGCAGGCTCCAGAGGATGGCGCCGCTGGTGGCCAGGCGAAGTCGGCCGACGTTCCCAAGACAGCCGCACCAGACCCGGAGAAGGGCACCCCCCAGCCGATGCCCGAATGGAGCGAAAAAATGTCTCATGGCATCCTCTCTGGTATGAGGGATGTTCAAGGGGGGGGGAGGCTATGTTTTCAGCAGTATGGGGCACCACGTAGCGAGATGTTAACTGCCTCGCCAAGTATACAGGAGGTCGTGGGTTCGATCCCAACCCTGACATTTTTATATTTCGAGTTTGTAAGTTCTTCCTGTGGTGGTCTGGATTTTTTTCTGGGTCCCCCGGTTTGTTTCCTGCCAAGATGCTGGTTTCCAGCAGATACTTAGAACTGGCGATGAAGAGACCACGATGCCCTCGACGCTGTGCAAATGCAAAGGGATGTTTTAATGTGTGAGCGCAAGCATCGTGAGGAGGGCATGGCTTTTTTTAAAGTGACAATCGCATTGAGAATACAGTTGAAGTTGCATATTAGCGCGCCGCCTTGGAACGAGTTTATCCGTGCTTAATTCCAAGTAATGTGCTCGTGACAGAAGTTGTACCTCGCCTCCCCCCTACCAGTGTAATGTAAGCATTTGTTGCTTATAACAGAGCCGTGCTTATATGAGGTGTGCTTGTTTCCAGCTTCTGCTCTATTATGGTGAGGTCCTACTATAGACATATAGTATGTCAGGTTTAGACAAAGGCACGTGGAATATCTTGCCTGCAACAGCAGGTCACCTTCAGGTATTCATTAACTGCAGACTGACATTCAATAATTGTTTACACCTCGGTTCGTACAACTAGGGGTGGAGCTGTGGCGCAAGTGGTTAGTGTATTTTGCTATGATTGACACCCCTCTTACTGACACACGCCTGTCTTACACGCACACACACCACTCCGAGTGACACGCACAGAACTCGCACCAGTCTTGCTGACATACCCACCCCTGATCCTCCCGCTACCACGCCAGGCGCGTCGTGGATCAGCCGCGGGTTGCTGCGGGGCGCCGAGGCGACGGGCAAGGTGCTCAACAAGGGCGCGACGGCCGTCAGGGAGCACATCCCCACGGAGTCGCAAGTGCCGCCCCAGGCTCGCGCCAACGCCAGGCCCACGGCCGCTGCTCCGCCAGCGCAGGCCCCCGCCGCGGCGGAACCGCACCGCGCGAACCCGGGGCCGTACCGCGAGCCCTCCTTGGTGAAGGTCGGCAAGAGCCTAGGTGGGTGCGAGTGTGCCCGCTCTGAGTGCGGACATCTCTGCAGCCGCTTGGAGGAGCTGCATTCATCGAAATAGAGCAAAGGGATTGTCGCGACGCGACCCCCCCCCCCCCCCCGAATCGTGAGAATTCGATCGATTCGCGGGGTGTGCGAATTTCTGTATGCCAATGACTCGCACTAAAAATATGTTAAGTTTAGGTTTTAACTTAATTTGGCAAAGTTCCAGCTGTGAGAATAAAGTATATGTATTTTGACTCCTTTATGATGAACATTTTCCTCTGCAGTATGAGGAATTTGTAAGATCATCATCTAACATGTGAAAGAAATGTTCCAGGCGGCCGCAGAAGCGCATCTGAAAGCCCGCGATGCGATGACCGTCTTTGTTCGATGGCTAGCCAAAAGCCGCTGCTGATGGTTTACGCTCCTTGACGAGATGAGCGAGGGTACCGTGGGTTTATTTGTGGCAAGAACGTGTCTGTGTGGTGGATGGAGGGGATGAGTCTGCGACTCGCTCTGCCGCGCAGTGGAAGGAGTGGTGGACGCGGTGAGCTCGGTGAGCAAGGAGGTGGCTCCTCACCTCAAGCGCTACGGGGAGAAGATCATGCCCGAGTCGCTCAAGCAGCCGGACAGCGACGGCGCCCGCACCCTCCACGGGGCCAAGATGGTCGCCTCCAGCAGCGCACAAGGCACGGCCCTCCGCTCTCTCGTTCTCTCACTGTCCAGAGCTCTCACTCTGCTGCCTTTTGTTGTTTGTTTTACTGGCTTCTCATTGTCACTGTCTGGGTCTCGCTGTTTAAAAAACCTAAAGGCGCCAACTCTTTAATCGTTGACTCGTGCCAACGTTTGGCTCGCACGAGTGGTGGTGGTGGTGGTGGTGAGCCAGAGTTGTTGGCGTGAACAAAGAATACAAACAAGGTGGTAAAAACGATATATATTTTATTGCAACACTGGATCATGGTGATTCTTCAGAATGCTGTCGTGTTGCATCATTACGCACCCCATTGAGTTAGGAATGAGTGCCGTTTAGAGAGTGGTGGCTGTGATGCTCCGACTCCAATCCAGCCAAGTTGGCGGATCACAGAGAGATCGTGTTTGTGAAATGCACTCCTTCAGGGCAGGACAGTGGGAGTGATGTTTCCTCATGTGCGTGACATTTCTCCAGGCACCTTGATGACCTCCCGCAAGTACAAATTAAGGAATAATCCTACTTTCCATCTAGTACCTACCCGACGAAGAGTGCTGATGAAGATTTCATCTCTCCATTAGAGAACCAGTGTAAACATTGTCATCACACCATGCATAAGACGGGCACGAATGAAAGCCCAGTGAGACCACTTGTGTATTTTGCAAGAGATACCTGGGTCATAAAAGCAAAGGAGAACAAAGCAGGTTAAGAAAAACACGGTAAAATTATATAAAAAGCACCCCTGTGACGAACCATAACTTTAACCGTAATAATTGGTGTTACAGAAGATCAAACATTTAAACACGGAAAATATAAACAGTGATCAATAGGCTAAAGACCATAACCTCGTGTGCATGAGCCACAGAACCCGGGTGTGTACTCATGTGTCTATGTTATTAGTCAACTGGAGTAGGCCGAAAATTCTTGCTACGGACAGCATTTTCCAGGCCGATTTCACTCTGTGTGCTGGCCTGCATTTCATACGTCAGAATTTTTAGTGAGTGGGAAAAAACATCGTCAAATGTGTCACAATCAACAATGTTGTAGATTTGGCGGGAACACGCAATTTTTCATTTAATGTGGCATTTAACTTTTCAGAAAATGTTGTGTTTTTACTCGGAAGTGTTTCTGTGAAAGACCTGCCAAACTCACGCGATAACTCGAGTGGCTGAAAACCATGGAAACTCATTCATTTTTTTTTATTAAATGTAGTTCTCATTCAACTTGAATTCAGGCCAACTGGAGAATGTAAAATGAGGTAATGGTTAAAAAAACACATGTGCGTTCCGAGTTCCTGAACTATGAATCCAGTTTATCATTGAAAAGCAACTGAGAAGGAAATAATGAAATGCACGAGAGACATTATGCCAGGTTCATGCAGCATTATGAACCATGGAACTTTCTCCAAATCTTGCATTAACTGTCAGAACAAAACAAGCACTTGGAGTATATAATTTCTAAAATGACTGTTCTTACACTCTGCACATTAACTATGTTAATAATGACGATGAATTACCTGTCTTTTTTATATTGTCCCGTGTGTGATTTATTTTTATTGTGTTGCCTTTATTGCTATTTAATAGCCTTCCACGGGGCTTTTATCTCCAGCTGCTGCTTAACCGTGTGGTGGTCCGCATGGTTAAGCTCCGTTGTGAGTGCTCCACTGTAATCCCCACATCCACTTTGAAGCGGCTAAATCGGCGTTGCGGCGTGCACAAGCACAGCGTGCAGGGCATACCAATTAATTTATTTCAATTACACACACCCCATCGGAGGAATGGATCAGAGCGTCGTGCCAAACCTACGCCGGAACGCCCCGTCCGGAGCCAAAACTAAAGGAGCAGGCCTGCAATTGTTTGCTCACAGTGCTGCTGGTGGAAGGGCCTCCACGAGAAAGAACTCTACAGAGCCTTTAGAGAGCAGTGGTTTTGCTCATTTTCATATGGGGGGGCACTTTCGACCGATAAGACATCATCGGCGTGTTTTCGCACTTGTGTATTAGTCGGGGGCCGCACATCATGGTCCGCACTAAAGGCCACCAGGTTCTGCCAGTGGCCCTTGGGCCTTGCAATGAAGAACGTTGCTCTTGAGGTTATTTTGCCAATTCTTCCACAGTGGCCGGAGGTCTCAGAAAGAGGTGAAAGTACCCACACGTGACCTGCCAATCGGCTGACTGCCGTGTAACTCATTCACAATGCTCGGTGGACAGAGGAAGGGAGATTTTGAGATGCCCCATTGTTATCACTGCCGTTGCCGTGAGATCAAAGCGGCAGCAACTGGTTTGCAAGTACATTGTGCTCACCATTGCACCACAGCAGCATCCCCTGCCACTCGTTGGAGAGCGACGTAAAATTGACGTTAATTCAACGACACGTGACCGTGCGTTGCACGTTCCACTGATTGCACCGACTTAAAAAATCACGTTTTTGCGACGCTCCTGCTCTTGGCCACTGGCCGAAGGCGGCGGCGCACCTCTTGACGAGCCGCGAGGCGTTCATTAGCGAGCCAGCTCCTGCAGGCGTGGGGGCTGGCAGGCAGTCAACGGCAATCGGCCCACCTGCTCTCGCATCGGCAGCACCATAGCACAGCTGCAAGCCAGACAGGACATGTGTGTGTGTGCGCGTGGGCGCCGGGGCGTGTCTTTGGGAGATTCCGCCCTTCCCCGTGCTCAGTGAGCGTCATTTGCTTTCTTCCTCACCCCCCTCCCCCCCCATGGCAGGCCTCTCCACCATCTGGGACGGTCTGTCGTCCGCCGCGAAGACCATCGCTCGGAGCGTGTCGTCGTCGACGGTGCAGCCCGTGTCCCAAGGGTGAGCGCGCGGCCGACTGTTGCCGCTCTGAGGTTTTTCTGGGAGTTCATTTCGTGATGCGTTTATTCACAGAAAGATGTTTGTGATGTGATGATTATTCGCGTTATAGCTCGGGAACATGAAATTGGGACGAGGACGAGCAGCACGTGAACAAGTAAAAACATTCCGTCCCTTTCAAAATACAGTGTTTGTATTTTGAGAAAGCGTGACCTCAACGAGTGAGTGGCCAAAAATGATCGATGGGGCGATTCGTTTGATCCTTATTTTCTCACTAGAGACACCTACTGACAGATTGATTAATTGCGATAATTTTTTTTTACATCTTCATTGCGTTAGGGAGTTCCAGCAGAGGATGAAGGATGACTTCCAGCTGAGTAAAGGTTGACCAGGCCCTCTGACAGATTGCTCAGAATAAAATATATTTCACCATTTCAGCCGACTGGCCTTCATCAGAGAGTGTGGAGGAGAATGTAAAATAGAGTGGAGGGGCTGGCTGTGATTTGTTTAAACAGCCACTGTTCATTCAGAGGTGTAGCGCAATGATAGGGTAGGCTCCCAAGTGTTCAATACGAAATCTAGGTTTTAAGCAGTCTCGCTGGAGTGTAACGATTCCTGAGAGTACCTCGTGTGTAATAAATGCGTGCATCTTTGTGGTCCTGCCTTTTTTCCGCGCTGGTGCAGTGCTGCGAGTGTACCCACCGACCGCAATGCTCAGATGAGCGGACATTACCAGAATGTACAGCCAACGATGAACGACATCAAGCGAGACACAGGCATCAAGCGTCAAATGTGATTGCATCCTGTCGGTCAGCGTGTTAAGTTGGTAATCTGAAGTTACTCTGGCCCGTCTAAAGATAAAGTCAACTTGCCAGCAGCTAAAATTACTACATTTCTACGTTCACCACTTATAGGAAGATGGAAATGTTTCTGTATTTCTGACGGACGCATTCTCCAACGCACGAGTTTGTGAGCAGCTCGTGCCATTCTTTCCACACATTTCAAACGGAGAGTATTTTCTATTCCTCCAGAAACATTGGTTGCGGTAAAGAAATTGATATTTCTAAATGAGAAAAGTTTGGTTGCTGTTGTAGCAATGCTTCATCTTAAATGATGCGAACTCTACTGATTTCATCGGTCAGTTTTCAGAACAAGCATTTGCTTTAAATACACCAAAGAGAGTGGATGTTTAAGAATATATTTATTGTTGATTCAGTACCTTATGCCCACGTACTGTGTCTAACTCCTTATGTAGCTGTATTGAAACGCGTCTTTGTGTCATAAGGACCCATGTAGTGGTGTTTAAACTTTATTATTCATCAAACTGGAAATGAATGTAAGTGAAGCCTATTATCCATACATATAATGTGATTAGTGGCCTTCACTCATGCTCTGTATCTCAAGTACATTCACATGAAATTGCTGCCTTTCCCAATTCACAAGATCTTGACCCAGAAATTGAGAAAAAATACGTCAAATACTGACCATTGGGAACCAAGATCTTCCCGAAGAGTGATACACGCACTCATCGGTAGAATCCTCCGGAAGATGGGTTCCCCATTGATTTATATTTAAAGGTGATGTTCAGGCGTGACGTCATCGACCCTGAAGCCACTGCCTATTGATCCGTCGCGGTGACGTCACCCTCACGTTGCCGAACGACGGCATGGTGATGTCATCGCGACGCACCGCACGGGCAAGGGTGCGGTGGTGACGTCACCGGGAACATCTGTTTAATGACGTCACCGTGAACATCTGTTTAATGACGTCACACGCATCCCACAGTGTTGCTGCCCCCCCCCCCCCCCCCCCCACGTGTCCTGCGCTAATGCGTGGGCAGTGCTGGTGCCTATCTAAGTCACAAGGCCAGTGTATTTTTTTTTAACTGAGTGTACTACTGTTGGTGCATTTTAACCCCGAGCAATCTTACACGAGCTAAATCGGTTGACGTGTATGAGCAATACGTTTAAGTTAAGCACAATATACTGTTAGGATGAGCATAAGTTATTCTGTTAGCTTTAAAAAAAAACTGTTGTCTTGCATTCTGTAGTTCTAGCTCTGTTTTTTCGTGTGGTTTTGTAGCAATACGTCGTAGTGTCACCGCACCTGTGTTTGAAATCAATAAAAGTTAAAAAAAAACACTTTAAACTAATGGTATGCTGAATGTTTTTTTTTTTATATCGCGAAGACGACAGCTGTCCGAAAGAGTGCGTTTGACTTCGATGCAACGTGGGTCACGTGGCGCGTCAGGTGCGACTTTAGCTGTTGCTTACACATTCATATTCATTCCACGTGTTTGGGGAAGGAAGCCGAACGAACAATAGATGAGGAAAATGAACTGCTGTGATGACAATGAGAGACGCCTCCCTGCGCTCTGTGCGGCGTTTACGCGTCAGTACCGTGGACAGCGCCCGGCAGCTCAGAAAGCCACGTGACGATAAACTGCAAGTTGATGTCGATGCTTCGATTTAAAATAACCAATGCTACGCACATCTTACTGGTAGGAACCTCCTGGTTACACCAGCCCACAGGGGATTATTGTGTTCGTCCGTCGTGCATCCAACAATGGGAGGGGTGGGGCTGGGTGGAGAGGGTGGGGCTGGGTGGAGAGGGTGGGGCTGGGTGGGGGAGGGGTGGGGGAGGGGTGGGGCTGGGTGGGAGGGGTGGGGCTGGGTGGGGCTGGGCTGGTCACCCCTTGGTGCCCTTATAAAACTCAACGTTTAACCTACTCACGCCGGCTTGTGCCCGCCCTCACAGTCGGCCATATTTGCGGAATGCACCACGCCGCCGTTGACCCTGGCCATTGACCGAGCAACCCAACGTTCCTACCAGCTCCCTCCGCAGGAATGTGTTAAATTCAAAACAGCTATCATGCGCGGCAGCCTGTCTCAGTGACAGTAGGCACGTGAAGACTGAAGTGATTCGTATCGAGTTTTTAATCAAATTATCCGGCATTCATTATTAGAGATTGCCGGTGGGTATCAGTTACCTGCAAGATAAACATTGTAATGCAAGTATTGAATCGTATTTGCTGCAATCCAAGCATTTATCTTAAAAGCCACAAGTTATGTTTTTCATTGCAAGTATATTTTCACGGTAAATGCACATATGTGGATGAAACAATTTTACAAGTGCATTTAAGTGGAACTGGCTTACGTTTTTTTTGTACAAATGAAAAACGCTGTACTTTAGCGTATTGTTTCACGATCTGATGTGAATGAACACGCCTTACATTAATTATCAGCTCGTATCCAGGTGCAATGTGTGGATTATTACATCCCAGGATGTTGAATGATTGCTTGTGGGGGGGGGGGGGAGACCTTCATACAGCAGTGGATTGACAATATCTATTGATGATGCAATTATTATATAAACCTTAACGGAAACCGGTTTCCGTAATTTCGTGTTCCATAACTTTTTCTTGATTTCCAGATGCGCACAACAGCTCGTCCAATTTTACATTGCAGAGGGAGCACAACGGGCCTCTGTCGGTCTCTTTCATCTGCCTCTAGGCCGTCGATCGTTCAGCACGTCCCACGTGACGCTTTAAGCAAATTAACACGCTGTCGGCGTGAATCGAGTCGACTCTAAGTCAGCTGGGACATGTCGGTGTGTACGTGAGTGGAGCGCTTCAGCGCTACGCTGCGCTCCGAACCCCGGCGACACGGGTTCGATTCCCGCTCACGGTCAACACCCAGTAGTGACGATTATCCTAACCGGTCCTGTTCCTCCCCTAGGTCGACTCAGCCTCAAATGAGTACTTGGTCGCGGTGTGAAAACACATCGCCATTGGGAAGACAAAGGTGGTCGGGCGTGGTGCTGGCCCACTCACCCCCTCGTGTGCCGTGCCGGCCTTCGTAGTCGCACTTGCCCGAACAGTATGTTACAGGCTATACGGGGGGGGTGATCTTTATCTTTGTGTGCACGTGTTCTACATGACGCAGACAGCGTTAGTTGCTTAGCGGTGTCAAGTGGGACGTGTTTAACAATCATCGGGTGCGTTCAGCGTTGAAAGAAACGAGTCAATTTGTATTTGAATGGGGAGCAAATTGGCAAAACCCCGGAAAGACGGCGAGTGAGTTTGGGAACACCTTTAGTCAACACGATTCGACTCATTCGTTAAACATTACAGGCGTGACGCCTTTATTTAAACATCATCGGCATTGTTTTACACGCGTGGGCCCAACACTCGCGCACCTGCTCTCCTTTTGCTTAATCGGTCACAACATGGGGGGTTATTATTTATCTTCTAAAGGGTGCATTGTGTGGAACAGCGGCGGTTTCGTGGCTGCAGTGTTGAAAAGGCAACAGCGTGCGTCTGGGGGTTTTCCAGTCTCGGGAGAAAACGCGTGCAGGTGAACTAATTGAAAATTTGGACACAAAGGCGGTGATGATGATGATGATAATTCTGCTGCCACCACCACTGCTTGGCTCCCACTAGACCAGTCACTCCTGGGAGGCTGAGAACACACCCGATCTGCCGCGAGAAAAGGACAGGTGGTAAAATCATTGCCAGCGCATTTGAGTTTGTCATTGTGTATCTGCTGTGTGAGGCTACTGATGTGTATGTCAGCTTATGGGCTCCGATGTCAGAAACCACTGGCAGGGCATTCCAGTTTCTCAATTGGTCTGTCTATATGAGTTTCAAGTTTCATTTATTTGGTATAGCCCTGTGAGCCATGCGGCTTTTAAGTCGGGTGCAACCGCAACAAACAAAATATGAACACAGAACATCTTAAAGCGACGACGCGTAACAGAAACAGCCTGGAATAAACCAGCAAATATTAAAAAAAAACTTATTAAAACGCTGTGTGCAAAAATCCCAAGTCAACAATAAAAACCACAAGACAATTTAGATTAACCATATGTTTTCGAATCACCAAAATAAAGCTATAAAAACAATGTAACAACAGTAATCATAGGAAGTGTGATTCAAATGTAACAATAAACGATATACATAACACGGACGATCAAACTTGTAGCCATAGCTGGCAGCATGACACTCCCAGTGTATGATGTGTGTGTGAGTGAGTCAGTGGTAGTGTGAGTGAGTGTATGATGTGTGTCAGCGTATGATGTGTGAGTCAGCGTATGATGAGTGAGTCAGTGTATGATGTGTGAGTGAGTCAGTGGTAGTGTGAGTGAGTGTATGATGTGTGAGTAAGTGTATGATGTGTGAGTGAGTCAGTGGTAGTGTGAGTGAGTGTATGATGTGTGAGTCAGTGTATGATGTGTGAGTGAGTCAGTGGTAGTGTGAGTGAGTGTATGATGTGTGAGTAAGTGTATGATGTGTGAGTGAGTCAGTGGTAGTGTGAGTGAGTGTATGATGTGTGAGTGAGTCAGTGGTAGTGTGAGTGAGTGTATGATGTGTGAGTCAGTGTATGATGTGTGAGTGAGTCAGTGGTAGTGTGAGTGAGTGTATGATGTGTGAGTAAGTGTATGATGTGTGAGTGAGTCAGTGGTAGTGTGAGTGAGTGTATGATGTGTGAGTAAGTGTATGATGTGTGAGTGAGTCAGTGGTAGTGTGAGTGAGTGTATGATGTGTGAGTGAGTCAGTGGTAGTGTGAGTGAGTGTATGATGTGTGAGTCAGTGTATGATGTGTGAGTGAGTCAGTGGTAGTGTGAGTGAGTGTATGATGTGTGAGTAAGTGTATGATGTGTGAGTGAGTCAGTGGTAGTGTGAGTGAGTGTATGATGTGTGAGTGAGTCAGTGGTAGTGTGAGTGAGTGTATTTTTTTTCTTCTTTATCTTCAGGGCCTCTGAGTATATGGGTCTCTCCAGTGATCGTATGGGTCTGTGTGAGTCTACGGGTCTCGATGTGAGTCAACTAATTTCTAGGTGAGTCTATGAGTCTCCATGAGAATCCTTCACTGCCAGCGCGTTTCATTTTCTCTATGATGGGAATCTTGTCCGTTTAAGTGTTTGGCACGAGACTTGAATATTGTAGAGTTTAAGGCAGAATGTTCTCGTTACAACTGTAGATTATTTCTACGCTGCAAATAAAACCTTGGCGATTACACTATGTAACACAATTTTTGTTCCTGTGTAGTAAGTGTCATTTCGTAATTGCTTAGCCTAAAAAGTAGAGAAAATGGCTATTATTCCCCACAAACTAAGTTTTTGTGACCAGGACAGTGATATTTTGAAATGCACCTATTTGCCAGAACATTCCAGATAGAGTCAGTGCTGGGTAAACTTGGAGTAACTTCTAGAACATTCTAGAACTTTTCAGTAATATAAATAGTAGTATAAATACAGGGGCCTGAAGACCACCAGTTCAGTTTAGTTCCAGCTGCCTAAGTAGATACATATCTGCATTTTTCTGAGATGGCATCAAGAGGTTGCAAGCATCCAGCAAACGCATTTTGCATAATCAATTAGGAAATAACACTTATTACCCAGGAACAAAACAAATTGTTACAGTGTAATCATTTCAATAAATAAAACTACCTCAGAGTTAAACGTAACCGTAACAAAAACATTTAAGTTAAAATGATATACTGTACAGTACTGTAAGTAAAAAAAAGTGCCACAGACTCGACTATACATGAGCCAAATTTAATATTTTTTAGCCCCTCCAGAACTATCATGAGAACTCTATATCGCTCATTCGCTCCGTCGCGCGCAATCGTATAGGCGTATGAAACAGATTTGGCCAATGCAGCATTGCTTGAGGTTACGTTTCAAAGCTGGCGAGTTCGATGTCATTTGTTGCCGATGTTTGCACCGCGTGTCGTTTCGGCCATGGTGTCCGACGTTTCTCTGCACGTGTCGGGAGCTTCAGCTCCCCCCGCCCCAAACATTCAGCTTCCAAAGCAAGCGCTCTCCCAAACACGTGGAGCGAAACGTCGAACATAATTCCGAAGAAGGCGCAGTACAGTCCGACGACACCTCGTAGAGGGGAACTACAACACAACAGCGAACCCCCCCCCCCCGCCTTGTGCTAAGCAGTGATGAATGCAGGTGGTGGAGGAGCGATATATCAAACACCCCTTGGCTTCTCAATCGTTAAATTATATATTTAACGTGAATAAATACGTGGGATGGATTAAACAAAGTAAGTTGTAGTGACGTGCCCGTGATTAATTTGTGTGGATATGATATAATAAAATTAACCCGTAAAAGCAAAGTTTTTCACT